ATCTACTGTCTTAACTGTGTAAAGGGTACAAAAGTGATGCAGCCCCACTCAGATAAATTCCTTGAAGATTTCTAAGGTGAAAGAAAAAATTCTTTATCTTTGAAAATTAGTAAAAGTTACTATTAGATTTTTTAAATAACTATAATAGTTATGGCAGCAATATAATGAGTAAAAAAACACTATCTCCAGTCATGTTGCATTATCAAGATTTTATATATATAAATGAGTGGTAGTATCTGCTGTGCGTTCCCACATTCAAGAAGCTCAATGACCTAGTCTTAGTCTTTTATCAGGTATATATGGGAAATACTTCCTTTACTATATATATTATTTTACTAAGTGACCTGCATAATTATATGTGTGTACATACATCTTGTGTCAATTCCTAAGATCAGAGCATTTGAAACAGATCTTTTAATCCATCCCCCTTATTAAAAATGAGGAAATTAAAACACAGAAAGTTTAATTTGTCCAACAGCCACTTGGTGACAGATCCAGAATTCCCTTTTTCAACTACTTAAGAGCAACAATTCATCATTTCTCTCAAGATTGGATGGATAATGCTACAGGATCACTTCGCTTTTTATTTTTCATATTAGGAAGTAGAACTTGATTATACATAATGATATGTACCTTTCTAAATTGGTTTAAAATTTGTCATTCATTTTAAGTATGGCAGTATTTTATTTGTTATAAATTCATAATTTCCAAAGGATTGTGTTAATTTTTAAGGATAAATTGTGAAAATCCCCAAATCTTAAATATTGAACCCAAATAAATTTTAATAATCAGAATTATTGGAAGAACAAGAATCAAAACCATCAAGCTAATACCAGATTTTCAGTAGTTTCTAAGATTTATTCTGTTTCTAATGTTCTGGGCCCATTATTTATACATTTCCTCTGAGTTCATATAGGCATGATCTTTTTCTTATGGTATCATTCAGTCCTTTTATGTTTTGCACCCAAAAAGCATTGGTTTGTGTAGTGAATTAGGTAGGGCTGCCCTTTCTTCACACAGTTTTAGAAATGCACATTTTGGCTCTGATTACTGATCCTGTGTCTGTGCACTGCACTGTTGGCTAGACTGCTGCTGGGTTAGTAGGAAAGTAGATTGTACACATGATACTATAGCATCTCTTCCCTCTCCATCTGAAGATACAAACAAAAAGAACAAAAGTTTTCAAACTCCAAAATTAACGCACCTACTTCAGATGCTAATTTGGTCTAGTTGGGATATTGCTGCTTCAGTACCTTCTAGGTGCAAACCAAAGAATAATGTCTGTTTTAGTTGAGTGATGAGTGAGTTTCTCATCTGAAACAGGTTTTTTAAAATTTATTTTTTAAAGCATTTTAAAAATAAACATTTTAATTTATTTTTTAGAGAAGAGGGGAAAGGAGGGAGACAGGGCTAAGGCCGGGGAGAGGAACTTACATGTGTGACAGATACATCAACTGGTTGACTTGCACGCTGCCGACCTGGGACTTGGCCCACAACCCAGGCATGTGCCCTTGACTAGTAATCAAACTGGTGACCTTTGGGTTCGTAGGCCTAGTGCTTAATCCATTGAGCCACACTAGCCAGGGCAGACACAGGTGGTTCTTTTAAATGATTCATTCTCACCTCCACTTTGAGAAATGTCTGAATTTTCTGATGGAAGAAAATATTTGTACTGTTGCCCCAGTGAAGCTACTGAAGCCCAGTGAAGCTACCTACTGAAGCTAAGAGTATAAAAATTAAGAAGGCTGTTCCTCCTCTGAAAAAAGATTGGTAGTCTGCCTGAATAAAATGATAATAAAAACACTGGCAGTTTACCTGGAGGATCCTATCTTTTGTAAATATCACACTTTGTTTTTATTATTTTTTTATTTTTTAAGGTTTTATTTACTTTCAGAGAGAGGGCAAAGGAGAAAGAGAGGGAGAGAAACATCAATGTGTGAAAGATACACATGCCCCCAACCGGGGACCAGGCCTGCAACCCAGACATTGCCCTGACTGGGAATCAAACTGCAGACCTTCCAGTTCACAGGCCTGTGCCTAACCCACTGAGCCACATCAGCCAGGGCCACAATTTGTCTTAAAAAGAAAGAATATTATCTAGTTGGAGAGGGAAGGATGCAAGTCACACTTCTGTTTTAAATGCAACTATAATTATGTTAGATAATGGCTTTGTTCCTTTATTAAAATAGAGTCAAATATTTTCTAAAACAAAAGTTGTAATGATACCTTATGTCTCAAATGTCAAAAAAATTAAGTAACCCAGATATGTTACAGAGAACATAAAAAATATATACAATGCTTAGATTTTGTTTAAGCAAATGATGGAATAAAACTATAATCAGTGACAGCTTAGGTTAGAAAAATGTGGCTATAAATAAAGTCTTTTTTAAATGTTTGCATATACTCTCTGCATAGGAGGTATTGTGATAAATTGTATTTTCATTTTAATTAAAATGATTATTGGGGAGAGGTAGAAAAGCGAATGGATTTCTGTTCTTGGTTTGACTCAGTAATTGTTCTCAAATGGATTTATTTACCTATTGTTATTAAAGTTAGATTTTTTTATTTTTACATCAATTTTCTTATAGACCAAAAGTATGCACAACATTTGGGGTGCACAAACTTTTGTTGTTACTGTTGCTTTCTATTACTTTTGATGTCTTTTTTAAATTTTTTCATTTAAAAGAGCACAGATTGTAAATATAAACTTAATAAATCATCATAAATGATAATCAGAATTATTTGATAATTTTTAAAAATAGTTACTCTTTGGAAATGTAAGGTAAATAATTTAGGCAAAATTTAAACAAAAATAATTTTATGGTTTGCAGGCCTATGCTCAATCCATTGAGCTACACCAGCCAGAGCCTCAAAAATAATTTTATGTAAAAAGTATCTGGGATTAAAAATTTTTTGTAAACAGGTATCTCAAAATCATTATTGAAATACAGTTTTTGGTTCATAGTATCAAAATGTTATCCATAACTTATGGTAGTAACATTTTTTACATTGTACAAGTAATCCTGACATTGCTTATGGGAAGAAAAAATAATACTAAAATATGTAAAAAGAGTTGAAAGCCATCATCCTATACACATCTACTAAATTTTCTTCTATTTGTAGCTACCACTTACAGTTAGTATATAACTTCCCACATCTTTTCCCACACATATAGCTTATAACATTTTGGTTTACTTGTTTTTAACATAAATGAGGGGTCTTTTATAGTATGTTCCGTGACTCACCATTTCACTCTGTCTTGGAAAGCTTTATGTGTTATTACATTATAGATACATTTCTTTCTTTTTTATTGCTGTAAATTCTTTAATGGTTTTCCTAATGATGAATACTTGTTTCTATTACAAAAAGTTTTTTGCTATTACAAAACATTTCTTTGAACATATATCTTTGTGAACTAGTCAGTAATAGTTCAATAAGATATCTTATTGACCAGTACTTTCTCTGTATTCTAGATGTTACTATGTTAATTGTGTATGTGGCAGATATTTTCTCCCTGTGCACTTGTGATAGTGGCTTTTGCCATATAAACGTTTAAAGTAATATGTAGTTAAGTTGTCGATCTTTTCCATTGTTATCTGTTTAATGGATTCTGTATTTCTAAACTATTTATATTCCTTTCCGGAAATATTTTTACTTTCGTTTTTAACTGATACTTGTAAAACACTTTTTTTTATAGAACCCTGTAAATGATGGCAAAATGTACTAGTATGTGATACATTCTGATGGTATGTAGTAATCACATAAGGCACAATGACAATTTTGATTATTTTCAGAGTGATAAAATAAATGTAATAAATTGTGGAAAAGCATTTGGGGTTTTGTGTTATTTATGGAATCACTGTGGGTAATCCTTACTATTAATAAATTTATTTTTGACAGGTAATAAGCTAGACACCGAGTGATAATAGTAGTACACAAGAAGTAATCCCATTCATTTACACATGATGGCATCCCCAGTTACCAGAAATTTCTCTGACCTTCATGTGTAGCTGCTTCTAAGACTTGCTTACCATTTACTTTTGCTGCCATCCAGTGCCAGATTACCCAACAGATACACTAAGCCAGGGGTGTCCAACCCACGGCCCATGGGCCGCAGACAGCCCAACACAAAATGGTAAATTTACTTTAAGTATTTTGAGGGTTTTTTTTGTTTTCATTGGTGTTTGTGTATTTAATGCGTGGCCCAAGACAACTCTTCTGACAGTGTGGCCCAGAGATGCCAAAAGGGTCCAAAAGTAAAAAAGATTAACCTTAATTAACTTACCCAAAATTTTGTGATTTAAAATTTAAAACTTATTTCGTGTGTGTGTGTGTGTGTGTGTGTGTATAGTGTTACATACTATACATAGGAAGAGGAATCAGAACACTATGTTTTCAGTGACTGGAGCCTCTGACTTGGCTCCATGGATAATTATCCCACCTTTCTATCTTGATACCCCACAACCTGGTCTCTTGAAACTTGTGCTGATTTTGTCCTACCTCCAGTAATTTCCTATGGAAGTAGCTTATAATTTTTCTACTTCTTCCCTATAATAGGAGGGAATACCCTTCTAGGATGTACCGTGAAGCCAGTATGTCACGGACTATGTTATCAGCTTACTTCTCTCTACCCTTGCTTCATACCTAATTGGCAGTTTGAAAAAATTACAATTTGGCTGTCAGTCCTCCCTTTGTTTATAGGGGCGATTCATTGAAGAGAAGAATACCTTCTTACATCTAGAGTAGTATCTCCTTGGGAAGAAATGACAAGGGAAAAAGCTTTTTCTTTTTTGAAGGAACTAAAACTTTTACAGCTTAGTGAATTTGGACAAGTTTTATTATAATTAAGCTACACTGTATTTTAATTAGATTTTTTAGTGCATTTGCTAACCTAACCACCACATGTACAAATTTATAACTGGAAATTTGCCTTTAAAGTCACAAAAGCACAAAGCACTGTAGTGCTTGTAACACTCTTCCATATTATTGTAGGTGACTAAATGACCATGGAATCTGGAGCAGAGAACCAGCAGAGTGGAGATGCAGCTGTAACAGAAGCTGAAAACCAGCAAATGACAGTTCAAGCCCAGCCACAGATTGCCACATTAGCCCAGGTATAAAATACATGGAGAGATGCCAAGTTGCATCTCTTCCAAGAGGAATATGTTTCAGACCAGAGAATTTAGGTTGGGGTGGTTTTTTAGAGATACACATAGAATGAGCAGAGACATTCTTAGAGTATCAAAATTTCTATTTTACTTAGTATTAACCTAATTTTAGAAATGACAATATTCAGTAATATTAAAAAATGTATTGTTAAACACTGATACACTTTGTAGCTACATGATTCAGAAATAACAACATTTTAGTTGATGGGTAGATTGATTGTATCTCTTAAACAAGGGAAGAAAACTTGATAATTTTTTTCATATCACAGATTTATTTCAGAACATGGAAATGCAGATAGTCTGAAAGGTTAGGTTTATATGTGCCTAAATAAAAAAACAGGATAAGTAAATAAATTGACACACAAATAAGTTTTAAGGATGATAGTTTTTGTTTTCTGTATATTTTAAATGAAATTCATGATTCATTTTGTCTTTGTCTGAAACATTCTATATCTAAAGTTACATTGTCTCATCCTTATTTTTTATGTATTAAATTTTTCCTCAAGTATTTTAAGATGTTATTTATTTGTTTGTTTGTTTTAGAGAGAAGGGAAGGGGGGGAGAAAGGAAGAGAGACATCAATGTGTGGTTGCCTCTTGTGCACCCCCTCCTGGGGACCTGGCCTGCAACCCAGGCATGTATCCTGCCTGGGAATCTAACCAGCAGCCCTTTGCTTCAGTCTGGAGCTCAATACACTGAGCCATACCAGCCAGGGTCTCAAGTATTATTTTTTATTAACTGTTTGAATATATATTAGAAAGGTGGTTAATATAAAAACCAAATATCTAAGCAAACCTTCTAGGTAAGGGTATGATATTGCCTCTTTCAGGTGAAGGCTCCCAGGAGGAAGTAATCCCAGCAGATGCTTTGGAATGTTGAGCATCAGCTTTCCAAAGAGTTTTAAAGCTCTCTCAGAGGCCAGGGGAGTCACTGAGCAAGAATAAGATCTTGGCAAATAGAAGGCCAAACCACAGATAGTTACCACTGAACTAAAGTGTGGGCTAAAACTGGACCTCCAGCAGTAATATAGTCCAGTAGAAGGAGTGGGCAGTTCTGTTTTCTCGTAAGATCACCCAGGCTCACCTCCAGCCCTTAGAGAAAGCTCTTGGGGATGAAGTAAATGTACTCAGATGAGGCAGGTACAGGGACAAAGTGGGAGAGCCAGGACTTCATTAGTACTTGATCAAGGAAAGCATACACAAAAAGAATCTGGGCTCATCCAAGCATCAGACCTCTGGTAAATTATAACACCAACGGTGATCTTTGATGGTGACAACCTTCAGTGTAGCTTTCTCTTGTCACACTGTTCTCTCCGGTTCAGTTGTTCTCTAAGTCTGCTATATAATATCATTCTGGAAATTCCTTCCCCTTCCTACTGACTGTCTCTTGAGAGTTTTGTGTTCTTTAGATAGTAAAACATGTTCTCCAGTAGTTTCTTGAGCAAGTTTAGGTAAAGAATTCTTCATAAATCATTCTTTCAAATTTTGAATGCATTGCTCTAATCAACTTCCAGTGTTGCTGTTTGAAAGACTAAATATTTTCTTATTTTGTATCTCTGTTATCTTACAAAAATCTTGTCTCTGACCGTACTGCTTCATTAGCTCATTGTCACGTTATTAGGACCTTGATTTGGATAATTTTTATCCATTGTCCTATGTATTCAGTGGGCCCTTTTGTAGTGGAAACTCATGTTTTCACTTCTGGACAATTTATTTGTTTAGTGATTTTTGTCTCTTTTTTTTCTCTAGGATCCTTGTGATGCATGTGTTATACCTGTAAGACTGTTTATCTGATTTCCTCATCTCTTTCCTGTTTTTTAATCTCTCTCTTTTTGTTCTGTTCTCTTAGATATTTCCTCAAATTCACATTGCAACCTATCTGTTGAAACTCATTTTACCTGTCACATTTCTAAGAGTTCCTTTTGTTCTCTGAATAGTCCTCTTGTGTTTATATTTCATCCTATTTATATTTCACAAAGGCAATATTTTCTATCAGAATATTAATTAGGTTTTTTAAATGTTTTCTTCTTCCCACGTAGATTTTTCTCTATTGTTTTTTTTCCCCTTTCCATTTGTTCTGGTCTCCATCTTTCTTATTAGAAGCTTTTCTTAATAATTAGTGGTTGTCTGCTCAGGTTTAAAAGTAGGGGGACAAAAAGCTCTGTGGATATGTTTGGGGTCTAACATGAGTTGTGAGCTTCACTTAGGTTCAGTTTGGCAGATTCTTCTAAGTTTTTCTTCTGGCCCTTGGTGTTGGTCACAGTCCCCAGAGAAAGCTGTACTGCTACCTTGCTCATATGTAAAGGCCTGGGATCAAGTGAGGAAGACTGAGATTTAGACCCTACCTTGAGCAACACCTGATGTTAGTGCACATCAAGGGAGACCCTCTATCCAGAAAGTAAATCTCCACTTCTCTGTCAGCATGGCACATGTTAGTTGTCCTCCCCACAGGGAGTTGAAGAGGGGATCCAAATGCTTCTGAAACAGCTTCCTTATTTTCAGCTTTCCCTTTCATCCCACCTTCCAGGGTGTCTTAGATCCTGAGCCATTTAAGGATTTTGTGGTGTAAATCAGTCTGTGCCTGCCTCCTCTTCTTGAATTGTCTTTCTGAGGTCTTCCAAGTTTAATACCATTCATTCATCTGCTTTTCAGCCTCCAAAATTCTTACTCTTTCCCATTCTTCTATGCTCGTGTGGTTATACCTGTAAAAAAAAATCAGTTTTGTGAAGTTTAATTGGAGATTCAGGAAAGGAACAAAATTATATACACATGTTCAGGATGTCGTACTTATCAAGCAGTCCTCTAGCACTTAAGACTTAAGCAAAATGGCATGATATTTGAGTTTCATGAAAGTTCATTTCCATTTGTATATTTTTTTATTCCTAATTAGAGTTTTTTCACTTGTTCATCCACATTATTCACACATACATTATACATTTTGACATAATTTCCTCTCATAATTTTGATGCCTGCTATTTTTTTACTGTCAGTTTTTTAAAAAGATTTTAGTCATTTATTCTTAGAGGGGAAGGGAGGGAGAAAGAGGGGGAGAAAAGAAAAACTTTGATAGGTTGCAGCCCACACCCCAGCTGCAGACCAGGCCCGCAACCCAAGAACGTGCCCTGACCAGGAATTGTACTGGTGACCTTTCGCTTTGCTGGACGACACTCAACCAACCGAGCCACACTGGTCAGGGCTAGTGTCAGTTTTTAATACTAGAAAAAGATAATAAAATTGTCAAATCCAAGATCATTGTGATTTAATAAATAGGAAAAAAATCAGCCTAATAAAGAAAGGAAATTTGAAACAATGATGAGATGTCTTAATTTACTTTTGGAGTTTACACAAATTTTTTTGAGTGGAAAAAATGTTGGTTTTGACTGAGAATGTAAATTTTTGTGGACTTAGCTAAAGAATTGGAAAAAAGGATGATAGTTGTAACTTGAAATAGGCAAATTTGAAAACCTAAATATGCATAAGGAATTTATGCAGTCATTAAAACAAGACTTAATGGAACGGAAAGATATTTGTAATGGATTTGAAAGATAAAATAGATTCTATGGTAATGTGTTGCAAAACTGGAATGTATATATGTATCTTTAAAAACACCTAGATTTACAGCAAAAATATTAACAGTGATTAGCTCTGAGTGGTAGGAATATAAGTGATTTTTATCTATTTTTGTGTATCTGTATTTTATAAACTTAGGAGAAGAGTCATTATGTAGAATGATCAGGATAAAGGGGATTATTCATTGAGTTAGCATGTTATATTCACCTTAGAGAATACTCAGAAAGGACATAATAATTGCTTCCAATATTAGAAGAGCTTTTACATGAAATTGAGATGAAATACTCTGAATAACTGGTGGTTCAGGTGGTTGTTCAGTGTAGGGAAAAGTGTCTTTGGGTCCATCAGTTTATAAACAGGTCCCTGTGTAACTAACAGAAGCGTAGTCAGTCCACAGATCACATTTTGAGAACCAGTGAAACTAAACAAGATTTATAGTGGCCAAAGAGAAAGTGATTAAATAGTGATTAACTGTCCAAAGATGGAAAGCTTATGATTTTAACCTCTGCCCTAATAGGGATCTTTCCCCTAAGGTTCACAGTCAAAGTATTTAACTGCCTGCTAAATACCTGCCAATTCAGATGTCAAATCAATTCTCTTGTCTTCCACCACCACCCCAGTCACCCAAAAGTTTCTCCTTACTTCTTGTGTTCTCTGTTTCAATTGATAATACAGCCTACCAATTCTTACCCAAACGTGAAATACTGGGATCATCATTGATTCCTTTTTGCTGCTTCAATCAACCATTCATAAAGCCCTCGCTGGTCTGCCTCCTGAACTTTCATTAAGTTGCTTCCCTCATCTGCATCTCTACCACACCTAGTGCCCTTTTTCTGCCCTTCATCATCTCACCTTAACTACTATATAGGTTTTCTCAGTTATTCTCTTTGCCTGCACTTTTTTTCTTTCTGTGACATAAATATTTTTCACCCTGCCACAGATAAAGATCTATTTAAAGTACAAACCTCACCATGATTTTCAGGAGTTCAAAACCCTTTAGTATGTTTCCCAATTTACTCGGGATAAAGTTCTTTAATAGGACATACAGAAAATTTTTCCTGACTAGCACATGTAGCCCCTACTTGCCTTTGTTATTTCATCTGTCCCCACTGCCTACATCATGCAGTAAAACACTTACATGTGCTTGTCATCATGTACAGGTCATGCTTTTATCTCTGCTTTTGTCAGTGCTAGCCTCTGCCTGGAATTCTGTGCTTATAACAACATGTCTGACTTGTTTTCTTTGTTTCAAATTCACATTTTTTCCTGTAGCCTCCTCTCTTTGGTGGGGTGCTTTAGCTCTCAGTGTGTTCAATTTTATCTTTGCAGACCTCATTACTTAATTATATTTTTGTTCTTTTCCCCATTTCTTAACACATAACCCAATAATTTCCATAAGGGCGCAGGGATCCATGTCTTTATTATTTTTGTAATTTCAAGTCTAACGTTGCTCCTGGCGTGTAAGTCCCCAGTACTTTTACTAGATGGGCAAATACAAATCCCTACCCATAAACATGTACAAGCATAGGAACAGTTAAGTGCCATTTGACAGACATGTAGGGCCCTTTTATTTAGGCCTGGATATTTATTTACTCATTAAAGTTTCCTTCTTTGTGCATCAGGAGAAATTGGTTTCTCTTATATTTTCTAAACTCTGCTTCTTTATTAGAGGAAAATAAATCTTTAAAATATTAACTATTAACCAGTTTAGTGATTTATTTGGGAAAGGTAGAAATTTTTAGATTATAATTCATATTAATACTTACTAACGAAAGGCATACTTGTAATTAGTTTAAGATAAAACTATATATACTGTATATTATAAAATGTGTATTTGTTCTAGACATACTAGCTACATTTGCCCAAGATTGACAGCAGTTATATTTTAGAACATGGGTTATTTAATACATGATATTAAGAAGCCTTTGATTCTTAAAGTCTAGCATATCACTTAAACTTAAATAAATTAATCTCTTTGAGCACTTAATATTTCTATTTCTAAAATGGAAATAATCCTGATTACCTGGTTTTGATATCTTTGAAGAGCAAAATGAGAAATTGGGTACGAAAGCAGGTAGGAAAATATAAAGCACCATACAAGTAAAGTAGTATTTAGTGTTCAAAGGGAGTCTGTTACATATTTCTTTGGCCAAAGAGTCCATTAAATTTTTTTCATCGAATAAGACACATTTTTCATTTTCACCAATAACTTCATCGATGTGGATATTTTGAGTATGCCTGCTCTCTCCTGCTATTGGCTTCCAGTGGGTAGAGGTGAAGGGTGCTGCTAAACATCTTCCAATGCATAGGACAGCCCCACAGCAAAGAATTATCTGGCCAAAATGTCAGTAGGACCAAGAAACTTTGCAAACCCATTTTTGACACATTCAATCAGTCACAGCACCTTCTCCATACACTGCACAAATCTCTTTGCATTTCAGTTGCATTTTTACCTTCCTTGAAATAATAAAATATAATACACCACAAATGTTGCCCATCTTCCATTTTCAATATTAAAAATGGCTGCACAAAAATTTACCAATTTCATAAGTTTTTTTTAAATACACACTGATATGACAGCTGTCACAATACAGTCTAAACTGTTTCTTTTTTAAATATTTTAATTGTTCAAGTACAGTTTTCTGCCTTTTACTCTCATCCCAGCTCTCCCCACCTCCCTTCCCATTCCCCCTCCGCCTCGTTTTTCTCATGTGTCCTTTATACTTATTCCTGTACAACTGTTTCAAATGAAGTTAAAGACAACTAAGCACCACTAGAACCACTGTACAGAAAAAAACGTAATGGACTTTTTGGCTAATCCAATATATTGATATTACATTAAAATAGTATTTTGTTTTTCTCATTTGGAAGGAGTTGAAAAGTGGGGGTGGGGGGGATTTGTAAGGTTTTTTCCCCCAGAATGTTAAATTTAATGATCAGTTTCTTTTACACCAGTGAAATAATTACCAAGCAAAAAGGTCATCTTTTTGCTGCTAAAATCTTGCTTTATATTGAACATGAGTACTCCCAAGAAGGTATCTGTGATGGTAATTTTTTTTCATGTTCAACACAATAGGTATCTATGCCAGCAGCTCATGCAACATCATCTGCTCCCACCGTAACATTAGTACAGCTGCCCAATGGGCAGACAGTTCAAGTCCATGGAGTTATTCAGGCGGCCCAGCCATCAGTTATTCAGTCTCCACAAGTCCAGACAGTTCAGGTATGTGTATAAAAAGTTCTGCATCTACTTCTATAACTGTGGTTTATAGTCATATCTCTCTCCTTTCATTAGTTACAAAAATAGGAACATAATCTAGTTCAGAGTTTATTGTATTTTACAGTAAAGGAATATGCTGCATCTGTATAGTCACCTTATGTATTAGAACACATATACTCAAGAACAGACATGTAAGAAAAAGACTTTTTCTTAAGCTACAGAAGAAAAAGAATTGATTGGGGGAATTAAGTACATGGGATAAAATGAAAAAATGTTTGGGAAAGACTGTAAGGATGATTGATCTACCTCAATTAAGGAAAATTGAGATAAAAAAATAATACCTCTGTCATTGTTTTCTAAACATGCAACTGAAAAAAAATAAACCCTTGTCAAAAAGTAACCAATAACCTTACTTAAGATATTACTTCAGTTTAGAGATTACGTAAAACATTTGTAATACCAGCTATGTTTAGGGTTCTAAGTTACAGTGTATAACTGAAATAATGATATATTCAGAAAATGCACCTTAAGAATCCTTGTAGTGTAATGCAGGGATTATACTACACATTATCTCATTCTGTGGAGAGATTATTCCTTTGGTTGGATCCAAAGGAATTAAAGGCTTGTAGACCTCCAAAGGTGACTACTGGACTTAATTGTAGGGAAAACCTAGAGCAGTATACATCTTTGGAGTCAGCTTATTAAAGAAAAAAAAGACTTTTAACGTTCATTCAAGTAGGCCATAACCCCAGCCTCCCATTTCATATTTTTTGCTTCACAGTCTTCCTGTAAGGACTTAAAAAGACTTTTCTCCGGAACTCAGGTGAGTCCTAGGTCCTAGATTTGGAGAGAACTATATATAGAAAGGAAGGTGAGAAATTATTCTTTATGTCTTTGTCCTTCTCTGTAAACATGGGATTCAGGTTTGAATAAAAATCTTCAAGATCTCCTAGGTGTGGGCCAGACTTGTTGCTTACCCAGCCCTTAGTTTGTTGTTTGATTTCCCTATGTGTCTTCTCCTCTGCCCTCCAAATGGTAGCCCAGCATTACTTAGACACTGTCAGAGGAAGGAAGTTCATACTATCTCCTGAAGCAACTGATTTATAATTAGAGGTAATTGCTAAAATACTGTTCCATGATAAAACCAGGGTAGGCCTTTATAAAATTTTCCTGGTGGTCCTAGGTCTCTCCTCAGAAACTAGTTAAGCAAGTTTAACCCTTTTTGTTGGACTGCTTTCTATTCTTCATCTCCCACTCCCTTGCCACCATTTGTTATATGATATAGCTTTGATTTCTCACTGCCATCCTTATTGTCTTTTTGTGGGTGAACTGTTGTGTTTTCCTTGGGTACGGTAGCCAGGCTGATTAATATTTGTAGAGGGGAGAAGTACCTCCCTTTTCCTGGGAGCATTCGGCTAACGTTGAAAGGACATGTTCGGGTTTGTCAGCCAATTGTATTGAGCTGCCATTACCTCCCTCTGCTTCCTTCTGTCGTGCTTTTGGCTTACTTGAACACCTAGTGGGGGGGGGAGAATGTTTTCCTGTGAGATACTAATTTATATGAATTTCCATACTTAAAGGTACCAGAATGGAATTTGTTACCAAGTAGGAGTCAGGGTCATCCATGTAAAGACTTAAGAATTTGATATTTCTGTGGAATCACAGTGGCTGTATTATAATCTCTCACCCTTTGCCTCAGTTTTTATTTCACTGAATGCTTACCTTACATTCCCCATCCTGTGCCATTACTAATTCCTTGCTCATATCTTCCTCTTGGTAATAGTGGAAAGAAACCTAGTTAGGAGACTAGATTTCAAACCTCACATTAATCTTTACTTTTTCTTTTTCACTTAATAGTAGGAGGTCTTTCTATAAAGAATACAAAAAAAGTAATACCCACAAATTTGTTAACATTACAGTTTTTAGTTAGAATATGTGATGTTTATTGTATTCTTAGTTTTAACCTTTGTGGCAATAATAATAATAATAATGATTTGGACCTGAGGGTTATGTGTCCATTACCTATAGAAATGTATTTATCTTTTCAAAAACACATTTTCCCATTAAGGTGAGCTATGTCTATAATTGAAAGCCTGAATTCTACAAATAGTGACATAATAGTGTTTTTTTCTTTAAAGGGCCTAAACCATAAAGAATCTATTAAATTTCAATGGTCACATCAGTGATTGATAATAATCATAACAATGATTAGCATTAACACAGCTAGGAAGTAGTTTTCAGCAGAGGTGACCAGACAAGGAGAGGAATGGTTCCTGAAACTTCTAGATGGGAGAACAGTATCATTCTAGAACAGCATCTCCAAAATGGACAAGGTACATTTCACAGGTGCAAAAATAAGAGACTGGGACTTCTGTTTATATTTTTTAATCAGAATATTAGAAACTAAGCTGTATTCATATTTATGGCTTACATTGGTGCCCTAACTTAATCTTTATGTATATGTATGAGTCAAATCTCACAGATTATGGGAGTGACATAAATGCGTAGAAGTTAACAGTGGCATCCTCGGTTTTCATTTGTTGGTTTTTCATTTGTTGGTTTTGGGTGCATTTTTAATACAGTGTAGTTTAAACGTGTCAGAGGATATATGGATTATGTTACCTTAAATTACTACATTCCTTCAACGAATTTTTATTGATCACATGCTATGTGCCAGTCACTGTTCTAGGTGCTTTGAAAGACAGCAGTGAACAAATAACACTTCCCTATTCTCATGAAGATCACATTTGAGCGAAGAGAAACAATGAAAAAATAAAATGTGTCAGGTGAGGATAAGTGCTGGGAAGATGATTAAAGTAGGGGAAAGTGATAGAGAATGATTTGGAGAGAAGGGTGTTCTGTTTCATGTTGGGTGGTCAGGGAGCATGGTGAGCAGAAGGCAGTGAGGCTAACCCATACAGATAATACAAGCAAGTCCCCAGGCTCAGAAGTGAGCATATACCTCACATATCAAGGAATAGCAAGATGGGACTCAGAGTGAGAAAGGGGAAGAGTGGTTGCAGATGAAATTTTTGATGGAATCTTTATTTTGTAATATGATGGGAGCAATGATAAAAATCTCTTGTGAAACATAGAGGTACAGTGGTTATCATGTGTTTAAGAGTTATCGAGTGAAAGGATGAATTATTGCTTGCTTTTTACATAAGACAAGTGTTCAAAAAGTTTTGATATTTTTAATGATGGCAAGTAAGGACTTGAAAGTGATATATTACCTAATATGTTTTTGGAAAGAAAATCCCTTTCAACTATTTTTTGGGAGGAAAAGTGACATTTTAATGAGTGAGAGAGTAAGTGTTTTATCTATTATATTTTTTAATTGGTTGATTTTAGAGAGAGGAAGAGAAAGAGGTATCGATTTGTTGTTCCACTTCTTTATTCCTTGATTGATTCCTGTGTGTGCCTTGACTGGGGATGGAACCCATAGTCTTGGTGTATCAGAACAATATTCTAACCAATTGAGCTGCCTGGCCAGGGCTGAGAGTAACTACTTTTTGAAAGAAACTTGTGTTGTGGAGAGAGCATTTTGAAAATAAAAATTTGGTCCTGACTGGGCAGCTCAGTTGGTTGGGTGGGTTGTGGGCTCCATCCTCAGTCAAGGCCTATATGAGAGGCAAACTGATTGATGTATCTCTCAGGTCAGTGTTTCTTTCCGTCTCTTCTCTTTCTAAAAACAAATGAATAAAATCTTAAAGAAAGAAAAGAAAAGTTTGGAAATGTTCCCATACCTTTTTTTAAGTTGATTTGAGAGAGAGAGAAAGGGAGAAAGAAACATCGATGTGAGAGAGAAACATTGATTAGTTGCCTTTCATAGGCCCCTCTACAGGGGATCAAATCCACAGCCTTAGGTATATTCCCTGACCAGGATTGAACCTGCAACTTTTTGGGGAATGGGATGACACTCCAACCAGCTAAGCCACCTGGCCAGGGGATCCTTACCTTTTTTTTTTTTTTTAACTGCAAACAAGGTAAATTTGGCACCTAAAAACTCAAATCTATACTTTTAAAACCCTGGAACTAGAATTTTCTAAACGATTTAGAAGTCTTCTAGAGTTTCAGTAGTGTTGAACTTATTTGTTGAATTATGAAATCATAATCTTTTTTATTAGCGTATACTAACTGAGAGTCAGGGAAATGAAACTATAATTTATTTATTTTTAGACGGGGGGGTGGGGAGGGAGAAAGAGAAGGAGAGAAACATCGATGTGTAGTTGTCTCTCATGTGCCCCTCACCGTGAAATCTGGCCTGCGACCCAGGTGTGTGCCCTGATTGGCAATTGAACCAGCAAACCTTTGCTTTGCAGTCGGGTGCTCAGTCCACTGAGCCACACCAGCTAGGGTCTCTTAAGTGATTTTTGATGATGGATATTAAAGCATATCATTCACTATTATAAAAAAATTAATGATTTAGCTTTAAGAGGTTTACAGGTATATTTTATCTATATTTGATCTATTTAACAATGATTTTGTTTTATAATATATAACACTTAAATTTACAAATAAGTATATATGCTTATGTAACTTATTCATAAGAGTGATCTGCAGACCAAGAGTTGGGAATCATTGCTGTATACTTTTATTAAACTTCCTGTTCCATTGATTAGAAATCTGTACTAAAACTGCGAGTATGAACTCTCCCCAGGAAAAGTACCTAAGTTTCAAGGGGAGTGTATATAGTTTGAGAAAGCATCTAATATTACCATTACTTTGATTTTCAATGATATTTTATTTTGAAATTTCAAAAAAACATCAAAATAGGAAGCTTCTTCCCATATAAACAGGAGGTATGGGTTTTTAACAAAGTAAAAGAAAGTTGAGAGATACGTATCTAAAACTTCACACTTATAAGTGGCGGTTTGGCTTTCTGAAAATGTCTTGCCTTATAAGTGTCCAAGGTTAACGACTTACCTAAGGAGCTCAGGAAGGGCATATAATTGAGGTGACTGAAGTAAGCTCCAAGGAAGTAGCTCTTATTATTGGAATATGGTGGTAGTCTGAAACCTAAAACAGGGATTATGTTTTAATAGCCTGTTAAATATATATTAAACTATAATTAATCATTTGTGATGTTTATAAAAAGGATTTTTGACATGGTTTTTAATAGTCTCAGAAATGCAGATCCACTGTGTGTTTTTGGTTTGGGTTTTTTTCTGTTTGTTTTTTTTAATTTTAGGTAGATAATCCATAGGAATTGGCTTCCTAATTCTAAGTAATTACTACATGGTAAGTTAATTCCTATTGTCTGAATTGACAAAATCTTTTAGATCAGAGAAAGGAGAGAGATGGTTCCTACTAAGAGCAATAGATCCACTGAATTTGGGGGAAAATCAGACTATATATTAAAAAGGAACACCAAGGCACATCATAATTACATTAGCCAAGATTAAAACGAAAGAGAGAATTCTAGAAGCAGCAAGAGCTAAGGGGACAGTCACCTACAAAGGAGTTCCCATCAGACTGTCAGCTGATTTCTCAAAAGAGACCTTACAGGCAAGAAGGGGCTGGAAAGAGGTATTCCAAGTCATGAAATCCAAAGACCTACAACCAAGATTGATCTATCCAGCAAAGCTTTCATTTAGAATGGAAGGACAGATAAAGTATTTCTCAGATAAGATCAAATTCCAGGAGTTCATCATCACCAAGCCCTTATTATATGAAATGTTTAAAGGACTTATCTAAGAAAAAGAAGATTAAAAAGATGAACAGTGAAAGGACAGCAAACTCACAGTTACTAAGAACCACACCTAAAACAAAAACAAACTAAGAGGACAGCTAGATCAGGAGCAGAACCATAGAAATGAAGATCACATGGAGGGTTAGCAACAGGGGAGTGGGAGAAGGAGAAGAGGGGAGAAGGTACAGAAAATAAGTAGCAAAGATGGTAGATAGAAAATGGGGGGAGGGCAAGAAGAGTATGGGAAATACAGAATCTAAAGAACTTGAGACATGTGGTCATAAACTAAAGGGGGGGTGGGGGAGGGGTGTGGAGGGGGGAAATAGGACAACTGTAATGGCATAATCAATAAAATATATTAAAAAAGGAACATTCATTTATATCATTTTGAATCTGTCATATGGGTGGTTTGTGTAGCATGTTTTGAATTTATTTTCATGACTTTCAACTATATATCCTTGAAAGAAGGTTGTAAGGATGAGAGTTAAGGCAGAAAGAACAGTAGAGGAGCTAAGGTCCTGAGAAGTATCAATGAAGGCAAATACTTTCCACACACAATACTGTTGAGTCTTGTTATTCCTTGAGATTCTGATCTTCTCTTAAGGCCTTTTCTAGCTCCTTATCTGCTCTGCCTCGGTGAAAGTCTGCGCAGACTACGCTGAGTGGGCTAGATACAGCAGCTGTAGATCATTGAGATACTGTTTTGTGTGCTCCTTTGGTAGTAACTGTAGCATTATTACTGTGCAGAGGCTCACAGACTACATTCAGCCTTGCCCATCTGGACTCCTTAAAATGTTTCTGTTAATTTTTATGTCTTTAAACTATAATGTGGATGAAGCAGATTACTTTATTATAAGTACAGTTTTTGAAGTATTACTAGATTTACCCAATTTTGTTTTAAAATGAGTACATATCTCAAAGCTCTGTTAAAATGACTACTTCCTCAGTAGAACCCTTAGGCTCAGACCATGTACTTAGTGCTTTTGGGATTTCTCAGGTTCCTCTGAATATGTCTTTCCTTACTGCTCTTGCCATAAATTTTGACCTGGAGCTGACCCACATAGACTTGGTTAAGTCTAACTCCCTTTGACACAGCCTCATATGCACCTGGTCCAGGAACGAGCAGGAGGCTCCAGTTGAGTAGACTAGGGAAACTTGGCAGTATAAATCTGACAGACAGACTTGCCTAGGTGAATGAAATTCTGGTCTAAAAGCACCCGTGGGTTTCTGCTTCTGATAAGACTGGTTTGAGATTAGAAGCAGTAGGATTTTGATGCCCGTAAGGATGTCTAAAACTTGAGATGCCAAGTATTGACTCCATTACTTAATAGCTTTGTGGCTTGGGTGAGTTACCTAACTTCTTTGTACCTTAGTTCTTCTACTTATAAAATGGATATAATAATTGTACTTATTCATCACCTAATGTTACTGTATTATTAAATATTAAGTAATATATGTATGTGCTTTAGCAGAGTACCTGGGACATAGTAAAAAATGCTGGTTGCTATTATTATTACTCCATGTAAAATCTTTATCAGCTTAATCTTTATTACCTTTCAGTCCAGAGATACTCTCCAGAAAGGCACAGTTCTTTTTAACTTGAGCGTTTGCTTAATAAGAATTATGGAATGTAAACTTTGAAACGTGTCTATATGTAGTAGAGAGCTTCTTATTAACTTGCTAGAATCAACCATCTGGAACATGGTAGGGTATCACTAATCTTACTTGTACATTTATAAATATACTCACAAGTGTTTACACTGTAGTTAAAGGAAAATATTTGTATAGTCACTATATAGACTCATGACTAAACATTTAGTTGTTTATTCTTTCCTCATGTCAGAAACCTTATTTCACTAGGTAGTCTTGTTCTAACAGCTGTAAGGAAACAACTGACAGATAATGTTGGTGCATTCATGATTGATTACATGAAGTCCTAGAATAGATTGAGCTCAATTTGGGTATCACGAAAGTGTGGTTTTGACAAACTTTTTAGATCCTCTGACTTTTTATAGATGAGTAAATGGAAGAGGAAAGTGATTGGTGTGATTGTTTTTCATTAAAATGTTTTTTAAAAATCTACTGAAGCATGTATAAGGTTTATGTATGTCCTTTTGTAGTTGACTTTTTCCTAAAATTCATAAAAATTTTATGGGAACGAAATTTGATTATCAAGATAGTCCTCCATTCTTTTCAGATTTCAACTATTGCAGAAAGTGAAGACTCACAGGAGTCAGTGGATAGTGTAACTGATTCCCAAAAACGAAGAGAAATTCTTTCAAGGAGGCCTTCCTACAGGTATGAAATTTAATAGTTAAAAGATGTCAGAAAACCAATTAGCTGTTCAAGACCATATGGAAGCTTACTTTTCTTCATCTTGAGTTACTTCTCAAAATAGGTTGAAAGCTTATTGTACAGACTGAGAACACTTCTTACTCTGCACAGTCTTGGATAAACACTGGTTTTTTTTTTCTGCTTATGTTCTTGTAGATTTTGCTGGCAGCTGCTTTTCTGTTCAAAAGTTTGAAATACACTTGATAAGGTTATAGCATTTTCTAGTTACATGAAAGTTCTGAAACTGCTCTTCATCTACTTAGCAACACATTTACAAACCATTTCTTATGCAGTGGTACTTAATGTAACTATTTGTTAATTTAATAGCTGTTTCAGAATCATGCTTTGCTGATATCCCCTAATTTTAAAGGTATACCTTACTGTAGTTTTTATGTTCAGCTAGAGAAGTTGCCTGGTCCATGCCATGCCTCCAAGATGGACCAAAACCATTTTTTTAATATGAATATACTGGCTCCATATTCAATATTTGCAGGAAGAGTAATTCCTTCCACATATCCTCATAAGCTTACTTTACAGTTTAATATAAAGTTCAAACTTACAATATTATTCTTTTTTAGTAGTCTGAATTCTTTTATGTATATTTCTATTTTTCAGAGGAATGGTTATTTTTTTTTTTCTACTTGGCTACTAAGCTAGCCCTTTTCTCTATCCTCACATTTAAATTCAGGATTCTAAATGAATTATCAAATTGATTTTTGAGGTCTTAAGAGATTTTATGTTACCAGGTATGTGTTGTATGCATTTATATTTGTAATTTTGTAAATATAACTAGTTTTAGATTTTAGCTTTGAAGTACATCTCATGTTAGTATGGAATACATTTGATCCTGAAACAAATCCAAATGAGGTATTAAGAAACAAGTCATGTGGCTTCTCTGTATATAAATTCTGGGCAAATCATAGCTGTACACCTTATAAAATATGTGCTTTTTATTGAAAAAAAGTTTTTATTTGCCTTAATTGGCTTGAAGCCTATGTTCCAGCAAAGATTATTTAAATAATAACACCTTAATTGATAATCAAATAGAAGATGCCAGAGACCATGTATATATAGAGAAAGGGCTAAGGGCTATTTCCTTGAAAGGTAATGGTATCCTCCCTTATAGTCCCGGAACCTCCACAGTGGGGTATCATTATTTTGTTTTAAATTTATGAGTTTTAAAAACCTAGCCTCTAAGTCTTGATTATAACAAGATCTCTAAAAAAGTCTTTATCATGTTCTCGTAAGGTCAAAGAAATGGGGACTAATGGATAGTACAAGGTGGAGTTTCATTAGAACAGCCCAGCTTTAGAGTGATTAATTAGTATCCAAAGGAGTCCTTGAAGAGCTCTTACTTAGTTTCATCTGGCTTGTTATTTTTACCACCAGTTTAGCTGAAAAACATAGAAGCCATGCTTTTCAGTTTGCAAATGACACAACCTTAAGGTATTAAATAAGTATTCTAATGGATGGGAGAAGTACTTTGAAAGATCACAGCAGCCAAGGGGAGAAGACCAAAACAAACAGGATGAAATGCTGGTGATAACTGTAACATTTATGATAAAATTAGTCAACGTACAGGATTTTGAATTCATTTTTCTAAAGCAATGTTCACTACTCATCATCAATGAGATGTGTTTGCCAAAAAAGCCAATGTACTATAAGACTGCATTGGTAAAAATCTAGTGTCTCAGTTAAGGGAGGGAATTACAGTTGATCCTTGAATATCATGGGTCTGAAATGTGTTGGTCCACTTATGTGTGAATTTTTCCCAGTGGACCCACGGAGTTCAAACCTGTTTAAGGGTCAGCTGACAGTTGGGAATCCATGTATGTGAGAGATGCCTATAGTTACAGCAGCTTTTCAACTGCATAGGCATTTGGCATCCCTAATCCTCTTGTTGTTCAAGGGTACAATAATGCTGCTGCTCAGATCACATCTGGAATATACTTGAAGAGAAAGTGAACTGTATTTCCAGGGGGAGAATTGACCAAGGTGGTCTGGAAAGAAAAGACTAAGAGGATCACTGGCTTCATGCAGAAGAGAAGTAGATGTATATGTATTGCAGGAATTCAGTAATGGCTTTTAAACTTTTTCAAACCACAATCCATAATAAAAAATATGTACATTTTTTGTTTTTTAAGATTTTTAAAATTTATTTTCAGAGGGGAAGGGAGGGAGAAAGAGAGGGAGAGAAACATCAATGTGTGGTTGCCTCTTGCATGCCCCCCACTGGGGACCTGGCCTGCAACCCAGGCATGTGCCCTGACTAGGAACTGAACCAGCGACCCCTGGCTTCACAGGCCCGCACTCAGTCCACTGAGCCACATCAGCCAGGGCAAGAAATACATCTTTTCATTTCTCTACACACATGCATATAATTATACATATTCATATGTAAAAATGTAGGTATATCTTACATATATGTGAGTGTATAATCTGTACATAGGCATCTGAAAGAAAATTTCCACAAAGCAATACTAACCCTTATCATGGGTAGTGTTCAGCTGTTCTGTTTTACAGTATGTTGTTTGAAACATACTGAATTGTTTTCAAGATCCACATATGGATTGTGACCTCAGTTTGAGAAACATTGCTCTAGAAACAGTCTTACTCAAAAGGTAGTCCACTGACCAGACTGATAAATCAGCATCTGGTTAGCATTGTAGGACTTCTGCCAAGATGGATGCGTAGGTGGAAACACTGCACCTTCTCGCACAACCAAGTTTAAAGACAACAAAGTTTCAGTAACAAAAAACACAGCCGAAACACAGAAAATTGAATTATACGAAGTCCGACAACAACGAACCTTTCAGCCAGACCAGTAAGAGGGGCGAAGCCAGCAGTGGAGTGGGATCGGGCAGGAAAGATCCACTGGACTGACCCAGGTGCGCAGGCAGCCGTGAGTGGATCCCAGGTGTGGAGTAGCAGCCGCGGACCCACTGAGGGTGCAAGGCGGCAGGCTGACCACGGTCACACATTTGCGCGCAGATAAACCAGCGAAGGAGCGAGCAGTGAGAAGTACTGAGAAGGCCCCAGTGGTGGGAAGCAGCAGAGGGGACCGCTGTTGCCCCCCTTTGACCCTACCCCCACATACAGCGTCACAAACCAGTGACCTGGGTGGCCCCACCCCAGTGAACACTTAAGGCTCTGCTCCTCATACATAACAGGCGCGAACAGACCAAAACATGGCTCAAGGAGAACTCAGAGCCCCAGAGCCCATAACTCTAAACAAGGAAGAAATAGCCAAACTTTCAGATGCATAGTTCAAAACACTGGTGATCAGGATGCTCGCAGAACTGGTTGATTTTAGCAATGCAAATTCTTGGGTCTTTCCCCCATATTTCATGAATTATACTCTGGGAATGTGACCTAGGAATCCGTGTTTTTTAAATTAATTATTTTTTTATCCTTACCTGAGGACATGCTTATTGATTTTAGGGAGAGGAGGAAGGGGGGGGAGAAACATCTATGTGAGAAACACCAATCAGTTGCCTCCCCTACACACTCCCAGCTGGGGACAGACCAGCAACGTAGGTATGTGCCCTGACTGGAAGTCAATCCCGCTACCTTTCATTTTATGGGATGATGCTCCAGCCAACTGAGCCACACCAGCCAGGGCAGAATCTGTGTTTTAACATGCTCTTCAGATGGTTGTTTGTATGCTGAAGTGTGATCTGTTGACCAGCAGTCAGTCTACAAGCTGTTTAAAATAGCGGTTTCTCATTTGCAAAGGAATAAAGGAGAAAATCTTACTTACACAATAAGAATAGGAATTTACTAAATGAGAATAATTAGATACGGAAAAGAATAAGTAAGAAATCTTGGAAACAATAAATACAAACTGGGAAATTAAAAAACAAAACAAAACACCAGTAACAAACTGAGGGAAGGGAACTGAGAAGGTAACTCGGAGAACAGATACAGGTAGAAAATGTGAAAAACTGGAGAAAAGTTATGGAGTACATAAAAGTGAGGTGCTTCAATAGAAGGACTTACAGAATTTCCAGAGCAGGAAATTGGAAGAAAGAAAATTATTTAAAGAGACAGTATTTTATACAATACCAGTAAAAGTAATTACATAGTAATTACATATGTGTGTGTGTATAGTTTTGCTTTGTAACTTCTTTTTTCCTGTATTATTTGAAAGACCAATACATACAATAATAATTACAAAATCTGTTAATGAATAAACTATATTTTATGAAGATTTATTATGTGACAATAATAATATAAAAGGGCAGAGCTTGGGTAGACTGTTAAGGCTAAATCATTTAGACTGATTTGTTGGAAATTTAAGATGTTGAAAATTACTTGAGTTAGGGCTTTTTCCTCTCTTCTTTGATTATGTTATTCATTTGAAATATGGTAAGATTTATTTGTTTTTGTTCATACATTATTTTTGTAATTTTTCTTATCCTTGTTGATGTATTTTCTTTTATTTTCAATATGTGAAACATTAACATGATTCCAGAAGTTAGAATTGTGTGTGCACGTGTGTGTGTGCCCAGAAGGACCCCCCTCATTTCTTCTGTCCTTTATCTCTTTGCTCACCATCTCAGTAGATGCTAATCTCATTAAACTGTGGTTTATCCTTTCTTTTTCTTGAACAGATATTCAGGTACATATACATATTCTTTATTATACAAAGGGTACCATGTGTATCTAATATTGGGATGAACTATAATTTATTCAACATTCCCCTGTGTGGGGGTATATAGATTATTTTCCGTTTGTGCTGTTGGGAGTATATCTTAAGGGTAAATTCCTAGAAGACTGCTATGTAAACACACTTTTGTTAGATATTACCAAATTACTTCTATAAGTGTTCTTCTGATTTTATATTCTTAACAGCAAAATCTGAAAGTGTTTTCTCAGAGCTTTGCTAACAGGATATATTGTTATATTTTTTTTAAAAGAAGGATTATTTGTTTGTTTGTTTGTTTTTAGAGGGGGGCAAGGGGAGGAGAAAGAGAGGGAGAGCAACATCAGTGTGTGGTTGCCTTTCACACACCCACCCACCCCTCAAACCCAGGCATGTGCCCTGACTGGGAATCGAACCAGCGACCCTTTGGTTCACAGGCTGGCACCCAGTCCACTGAGCCACACCAGCCAGGCTTTGTTACACGTTTTTTTGTTTGTTTGTTTTGTTTTGTTTCTAATTTTGCCAGTGTGGAAGTTAAAAATTAAAAATCAGTATTTTGGTCTTTTATTCCCCACCAGTTTTTAGAATTTTTTATATATCAGGGATATTAGCCCTTTATATGTAATACAGGTAAACATTTTCTGCTGATGTTGTTGATCATCTCTTGACTTAATTTTTGGTGTTCGTTGCCAGAAGGATTTTTTTCTTTGCTTGCACCTGGATTTTGAATTGCATTCTTTCTTTATATTCAGGTTAAAGAAAAATTCACCTTTGTTTATTCTGGTTCTCATATGGTTTCATTTGACATGTAGATTGTAGATCCCTGGCCCTTTTTTAGTTTATTTTTGTAAATTCTTGTGTTTTAAACTTTATTCCTAAGCAGTAGCAGCTTCTTATCAGTTTTTGGATCTTGTCCTATTATATTTAGCCAGTAAAGATTACTTTATTTTAATTAATAGAATTCTCTGTTTTTCTAGGAAAATTTTGAATGACTTATCTTCTGATGCACCAGGAGTGCCAAGGATTGAAGAAGAGAAGTCTGAAGAGGAGACTTCAGCGCCTGCCATCACCACTGTAACGGTGCCAACTCCAATTTACCAAACGAGCAGCGGACAGTACAGTGAGTAGTCGATATTTCTGTTTCGGAGAGTGAGATGAAAACTAGTTCTCCTGAAAGGAATCGTGGAAGGGCCAACTCTTTTTCTCAGGCTTGCTGTCATTATATTTCCTTTATTGTTCAGTATGCCAAGTTCTATACAGAAGAGTTTTGTTTCCTTTGGGGTTTTAGTTAGGGTTACTCAAGTATGTAAGCCCTTTAGATGATGGTCCTTTGTTTTATGCTGCTGCATGGAGAGTCGTAGAGGTTTTCAAACCACTCCTCGAGGATTTTCGTCTTCACGATGTATGTGATGTTAATGGAGAACATACATTTTTTGAGATAAAGAAAATAATCATTCTTTGATTATGTTTAAGGCCCAAAATGGTCTTGTTATTTACCTGTTTAATACTTCATCTTCCTTCTGGCATTGCAAAGTCTAGCATTTAATGTTTTGTGGTGGGGGTAGAGAGGCTTGGTTGCAGTCTACTAGCACATTCAGTTATCACTCCTTTTAATATGAAAGGTAGTGAAGTGAATATGATAATGAAAGAATAAGGACTAATGAATTAAGTCCTTTTTGGCTCACAGAAAGCAAAGATTTCTTTTGCATAATTATCAGTTTCCATTTCTGTGATATCTCTAACACTTAAGTGTGTCTTAACTTTCACCCAAATCTGTTATGAAGTACTTTTGATTCTGCTTCTGTTAGATAGATGGCATTTGTGTGAAGGGCACTTTTCGTCCTCTTTTCCCAGTATCTTTTTTTCTTGCAAAGTGCCTCACATGTCAGTCTCTTCATTTTGATTTGTTCATTACTTCAGTACTGCCCATTTAATGTTTTCTATCCTCCGTTCATTAATTACAAATCAAATGCAACCATTGAAACTTTTTTGCTGTGTTAGTTTTCAAATTTTCTGGGGCCTATGTCAGAAATGAATAAAAGTTTGAGTTTCACGTTAGTAGTATTTCAGTTATAACTCCAAATTGGTTTGAATTCCAGCTGGATTAACAGATTTGCAAGTAGCAGACTCTTTAGTGCTCTCAAAACAGAAACTTTTGATAGTAAGTAAAAGGAAGGCATTTTTGACTAAGCTTCTTGTCCACTCTGAGTTTAATAAAGTTCTGTCCTCCTTAAATTCTTTGTTGGCAGAGATAAACAGGTATTATCTATAAACGTGTATGTGTGTTTTTTAGCCCTGCATCCAGACAATTTGAGTTGTTCAAGCTGTGTGCTACAAGATGTAGATACATGACCTTTATTTTTTTCCAACTTCAGGCATTAAATCAAAGCACGCCTGGGGGATACAGTATACTTATGTTGGTGTCAGTGACTCAGTGTAGCGATTCTCATTTGAACTAAAAAGCTTATTCCTTTGGCAAGAGGCATATCAGAATCTCAAATAAGGGAGTGAAGTGAAGAAAAGTAGATGTTTAATTTGGTACACCACTCTCCTCCAGCAGCTGAGGATATTACTAATTTTAAAAGGTTAATACTTTCAGATCATTAAAGGTTATTATCTTTATCCCTTATTCTCTGTGTATAAGCACACATGGCCTTAATGGAAGTGACTTAATACTATATTCTTGATTTTCATTAAGAAGCAGTATAATGACTACTCATATACACAACACATTTTTATATTTCTTACCTTATAAAAAATATATATTGTTGTGAAAATTTAAATGGTAGAGGTTCATAGCATTAATAAAAAGTAAACATCTTTTCCATCCCTTCCCAGTAGTAAGAGTTTAAGTATACATCTTTCCATTCTTTCTCATTCCATTTGTACATGCACATGTTATCATGTATTTTTATATAAATGAGACTTACATTATTTCTATACCATTGATAATATATACATATATAGTTTTGTATGTTATGTCTTCAACAGCTATGTTATGTTTTACTTTATAAATAGAACATTTACTTAAACATTCCCCCTACATACACACACACACACACACACACGGAGGTACTGTTGAACATTGAGAACGTTTCTACTATTTCAAACAGTGCTATAGGAACATTCTTATTCGTGTTGTAATGCCTCAGTGGAGTTGCATCCACATAGTAGAATTGTTAAATCAAAGCATATCCTGCCCAATTGCCCTTCCCAATGGCTGGACCAATTTTTGTTCTTCCATAAATTGGTTATATTTTTTAAATTAATACTATTGCTAATTTTATCCATACTTTATTCACTGTCTCCAGTAATAAAGTCTTCTTTGAGACAGTCTATTTTTAGGTAGAAAACATGTATCATTTTGAACTTGATTTTTTTGTCTCACTAAATAAAACAATATATAACCAATAACGTTTTCCTCTTTATTTTGGCTACTGAGAATCTCGGCTAAGTTTATGTTTAATTGTATTCTTTCTGTCTAGATTTTCTGATAGAACTATTGAATACACCTATAGATGCATCAGTCACTTGACTTCTGTGTTCTTATTTTAATGAACTTAGTTGGGATTTTATTTATTTATTTTTAGAGAGAGGGGAAGGGAGGGAGAAAGACAGGCAGAGAAACATCCATCAGTAGCCTTCCTACATGCCCCGATGTGGGACTGAACCCACAACCCAGGCATATGCTCTGACCAGGAATGGAACAGGCGACATTTCACTTTGTGGGAAGACACCCAACTGAGCCACACCGGTCAGAGTTTAATGAATTTTGTTGTGTTGAAAGCTTATCTAAAATTCTTCTGGAATAATCAAATGTATAAATAAATTAAGAAGAATCCATGTTTGATAGGATCGGACATCAGTTTTCAGAGTACTTTCATGTACATTATCTTACTTACTTTTTGCAGCAATTGTATTTTAGTGGCTAGAACCAGATATTTTTATTTTTACAGAAGAGCTAACAGATTCAAATAACAGTTTAGTGATGGAACTTGGACTAGACCCCAGATCTCCTGATATATAGTTTTCTACTTCTTTCTTCCCACCATGAGTTCATTGGTATGTAGCCGAGAAGAAAGCTGTGTGTGTTAAATACAATGAAATTTGCTTATTAACTCTATATGAAAAATTATGGTATGATTTCTTAACCTTCTGATTCTTTCAGAGAATATTAATTATTCTCTGGAAGAGAATATTCCTGGAATATTAATCTCAGTAGTTTTTACATATTCTTTTTTTTTTTTTAGCCTTGTCTAAGATAAGTAAAACTTATGGGATTAGCCAAAGTGAATGGAGATTGTATTTGCCAGTATCTTAATTTCCACAGATACCATTTGTAAACCAGATCATAGCCATTAACTGTTATTTCTTGACTGAACAATAGATAATCAATTTTCCATAAACAGATGACTCAGGATATTAGTTACCAGAGCTAGCTCACAGTTGATTCCAAGTTAATTCCCTTCTAAGAGACAAAAAAATAACATGCTAAGGTCAAACATGTTGACTTATTCAGTTAAAAATCCAGTATGCAATTTTATATGTAATATAATTTTTAGTCACTTTTTGGAAAACTTAAACTCTGACAGAGAGAGTATCTAGAAAAGGATCCAACTGTCTATCTTAATGCTGATACCTGAAGGATCACTTCTTCAAATAAAATAATGATCTGTTTCTCTTTTTTTCTATGTACTCTACCATAAAGGCGAATTCACCTTTTTTTTTGAAATAAAGTGAAATGTCTTTGTAACAGTGAATGAATTACAAAGTATAGTTAATTCGTAAATAATCAATAAAAGACCCTAGATCAGAATGCTTGGATACGTAACTTAGAAATAGCAGTGAGGTATTTTTTTTTCCTAAATGATGATCATAAGCTCTGACTTTAAGCTCCCTGAGAGACTCTGAAAATTAAGTTCCATAGGACATTTCAGTTGTTTCATTGAGTGGACTTTTGTTATAGTTTGTACATTGCTGACAGAGAAAGCATACTACTGAACTGTTTTATTAATTATGCACTAAGATAACCTTTTATTACATGCCTATTGTACTTAGTACATGAAAGTAGAAAAGAAGAACCATATTTCTGACAGTTAAGAAATTTATTTACTTGTGGGACAGCAAATACTAAACAGTTAGAATACTAGGTAGTTAACACTAGAATAAAGGAAGTGTGGGTCACAAAGTGGGGCCTCCTCTGAACCAAGTAACTTTAAAAGGAATTTAATATTTTCTTACTTCTTCTAAAATTGTTAGTAGATATTATTATAAATTACAATGTAGTTTATTGAGTGCATTATATACAGAAATTGGATATGGATTTCCTGAGCAGAAGAGTACTTGAGTGTACCAAATCCTTGTTGGCATTGTTGTTTGCTGCTACACTTCTCTGAGTTCATGTCTTATAAATTACTCTACTTTGAGTTTAGAGTGTTGTAAAAGTCCTATATGGTATTAATTAAACTTGTAACAATAAAATCCATTGGGTTTTAGTTGCCATTACCCAGGGAGGAGCAATACAGCTGGCTAACAATGGTACCGATGGGGTACAGGGCCTGCAAACATTAACTATGACCAATGCAGCTGCCACTCAGCCGGGTACTACCATTCTGCAGTATGCACAGACCACTGATGGACAGCAGATCTTAGTGCCCAGCAACCAAGTCGTTGTTCAAGGTAAGAGAACTCAGGTTTCACAGGTATGGTAAATTCTTTGGAAGGTTTAAATTTTATAAACTCAAAAAAGTAAGTATGATGCTGTAAAACATTGTTAAAATGTAAATTTCTTCACTATAGCTAATATTTTCTATGAACTCTTCCATTATTACAATTGGACCAAAATGTCATGGCATAAAAACAACTATTTTCAGTTTTAAAAATATAACTTCTATTCTTTAACACTTAGAATTTGGGGGTAGGAGAAACAGCATAAGTTAAAGGGAAACAGTGAAACCAGGGTTAGATTCTACATTGAACCCCAAAGACTTGCTCTGTGAACCTTGAGTAAGACACCCTCTCCAAGTGTTTTTTTTCCCCCACCATGTGTTAAATGAGAATTTTACTAAATTATTGACCAGAATCTTTGGAGATTCAAAGTTGTTTTTTCTGCTTTTTTAGTTAAAAGCAATTTATAGCCTCATTTCTAAGATGATCATTTTTTTATTTCAAATGAAAGCATATTCTGAAAAATCTTGTACCAGTACACAACTATAGAAATAGCTTTTTAATTTTTGTTTTATTCTATTTTGTTTCAGGAATCTTTATGGATAGGAGTTAACCATTTTTTAACTATTTCACTATTTTAAGAATATGGCTAATGCCAAATTGAAAATTTGCATATTAAAGAAATAAAAAATGTTTCTAAAATGTTTTCATTAATAATATGTTTTGCCTCTGTCAGGGAATGACAGGTGTGCCCCTTCATTATGGATGAAATTTTTTGAATAATTCTAAAACATCAACTAGAGAGACTCATAATTTATTTTAAAGGGCCCTAATGTATTTACAGAATATATTCTGTTACTGAAATATTTGAAGAAGATAATATTTTGCTTGTTAATGGGAGTAAAACACCTTTTCACTTTACATGCAGGTACTCAAAAATTGTAAAGCAGGATGTCAGTGAATTTGAATTCTGAACGTCAGTTTGAAGATGGTAACATGTTTAGTATATAAATCTTTTCCACTCAAACTACACATTTTAATTGATATTAACAAACATGAATAATTTTATAAGTATAAAGATCTTCAAATTCTCAGATAATGTTAGGTTTCTTGTTCTTAGGTGGGCATATTATTAAGCTGTTTTTAAAAGCAGTTTGACAAGTAGTGTTTGTATTTTTCACAAGTGATGAATCATTTAGTTAGAATAAAACGAGTTTATTTAGTCATTATCATTTACATTAAAACAATGTTTACAGATGATATAATTGGCATCACTTGGTACACTTTCATACTTACAGTTTTGTGTCAATTAGAAATTTATAATAGTTGACCATAATGCTTTATTTTCTCTTCCATTTTGCTATTTTATGAAAAATCATGGTCGTTTTTATGTCGTGGCAAGAGTCTACTTGAAATTTTTTAATATGAATTTACCAATATCAAAGGAAGACATTGAGGACTATATCTAGGAAGATGATCCAAGCTGTGCCCTACTTACCTTTTAGACTTAAGGTTGGTAAGCATGTTAACAGAATAGAACTGCATTCCAATGAAAGATAAATAACCCAGCAGATGTGTATAGGTTAAGATCTCTTTCACCCAAGTGCCTATGCTAATAAACACATTCAGTCGGGAACTATTCTCAGTAACGACCCAAAGAGTGCTGACTCTTTCAACATTTTAGTCAGAATCACCTGTTCCTTTTTTTTCCCCTTTTAATCCAAAATGTATGTTTAGCTTGATGATTGACATCCCTAGTTTTACCAGGTCACAGTGCTTCAGTGTCTTACACCATGTTTCCCATTTTTCTTTCTAGCTGCCTCTGGAGATGTACAAACATACCAGATCCGCACGGCACCCACAAGCACCATTGCCCCTGGCGTGGTTATGGCGTCCTCCCCAGCGCTTCCCACGCAGCCTGCTGAAGAAGCCGCGCGGAAGAGAGAGGTGCGCCTCATGAAGAATAGGTATGTACATTGCATTTGCTGAGATTGGCATAAGTCAGGTATGTCTTCAGATTCTTCAGATGTGTCTTTCACATCTGACAATAGGACCTTTGGGTTGAGGTTTTTTCTGGTAGAATTGATGGGTCTTGCTGCAACTTCATTTAATAAGCAGCACTTATGAGATGGCCAACAGGATTACAGGGCAGTCGTTGATCATAAAGTAATTTTCTTTCATGCATTTTTCCCCATAAGAGATTTAGTGCACAATTTGCTATATATTCATTAGACTCCAACCAGCTGGCTAGGTTATTTAAAAATTGTTTCTTTTCATGAGCATTATATTCCAAGATGAAGAGTTTCATGTACATACATTAAAATGAAATGTTAAATTTATTTACAATATAGTAAACATATTAGGCAAATCCATATCCTAATGAATATTACCTTTACTCAAAATAGTAACAGTTTAGCACCCAAATATTCTTTTGAAAATGGATTGTCTAAGAATACCTTATTAACAAAATCTTAAAATAGAATTAGCCTTCAACAAAATGCTGCAATAAAAATGTTGCATATCAAAAATCTATGAAAATCTACTTCTCATAAAGTAAATTCATCGCTGAATGGTTTTATCATCACAAAACAAAATATTTTTATTTACTTATGTTTACTTTAGTATTTTTCTTTAGCTTAAGAAAAATATTTAAATATTTTTAAATATTAGTTTAGTTTAAATATTTTAAACTAAATTTAAATATTTGGTTTAGGATTTTAATATAGAAATGACATAAGACAAACCAAATAAAATAAAAATAAGGTATATAAGATATAAAAAGTTATAAGATATAACTTTCTATAAAAAGTTATAAAAGTTATAAAAGGTTATAAAAAATATTCCTCTGCTATTTACCCCAAGATTCTTCAAACATGGTAAATAAAGTAAAGGAAACAGATTGAACGTAGATCTGGATTTAAGTTCTGGTTCTGTCCCTTTTGTTGTGGCTATTTCATTGTATGTATGTATTGTAGTTTGTTCATTCACCTTGAAATTTATTTTAGTTGTTTCCAGTTTGGGAGGATTTTGAATAAGTTTACTGTAATCACTTACATGTACATATTTATATGAATTTTCAATTCACTTGAGTACATTTCTAGGAATGGTCTTGCTGAGTGGAATACTAAGTATGTATTTATAAGAAACTGCCAAACTTTTCCAAAGTGACTATACCATTTCCCAAATTAACTTTTGTATTAATTATGAGGTGTGTTAAGGTTTATTTACTGCATATGGACATCCATTTGTCCAGTAACATTTTTTGAAAAGACTATCCTTTCTCTGTTGCCATTGCATTTTTGTCAAAAATTAATGGACCATATTTGTGTGGGTCTGTTCCTGAGCTGTCCAGCTATCTTCATTGGTCTGTGTCTATACCTTCTCCAATATTACCCTGTCCTGGTTACTATTAGTAAGTTTTGAGTTTGCTAATGTGAGTCCTCCGACTTTGTTCTTTTACAGAATTGTTTTAGCTCTTCCAGTTCCTTTGCATTTTTGTATAAATTTTAGAATCAGTTTGTTGATGTCAGTGAGAATGTTTGCTGAGATTTTGATTAAGATTGTTTTCTGTTTATAGATCAAATTGAGAAGAATTGACATCTTACCAGTACTGATTGTTCCATTCTGTGAACATACCATGTGCTGCATTTTTAGCATATAGTCATATACATGTTTTGTTAGATTTAAACCTAAATACTTAGGGGCTTTGGGTTTGGATTTTCTAGGGGGGAGTATTTTAAATGGTGTATATATATATATATATATATATATATATATATATATATATTGTTTTTTAAATTGAAATACTCAGTTGTTCATTGCTGGTATATAGAAATAAAATTGACTTCTCTTTTTAACCTTTTATCTTGTAAGTATTCTAAATTTACTTATTTCTAGGAGCTTTGTTGTAGTTTTTTTGGCATTTTCTACGATCATGTTGCCGACAAATATGGACAGTTTTATTTTTTCCTTCTAATCCATATGCCTTTACTTTTTCTTGCCTTACTGCAGTCTTAAGGACTTCTAATAGGCTACTGAATAGGAATGGTGAGAGGACAGCCTTGCCTATTCTCCTTCTTAGGAAATACATTTGTTTTCTATTGCTGCTTCTCACAAATTACCACAAAATTAGTGGCTTAAGCAGCACAGTTACTGTCTTAAAATTCTTTTGGATCAGAGGTTACCATGGATCACACTGGGTTAAAGTTAAGGTGTCAGCAGGGCTGTGTTCCTTCCTGGAGATTCAAGGGAAGAATGTCTCCTTGCCCTTTCCAGCTTCTAGGGGCTACCTAACATTCCTTGGCTCATGGCTCCACCTTCGAAGTTAGCAGTTTTGTATGTATCTGTGTGTCTTCCTATTGTAGTCAGATCTTCTCCCCTCCTCTCTTCCATTCTTAAGGACCCTTCTGATTGCATTGTGCCCACCCAGGTAATCCAGGAAAATTTTCCTATTTAAGGTCAGCTGATTCTCAACCTTAATTCTATCTGGAACCTTAATTTCCCTCTTACCATGTCGGGTAACATATTCACAGGTTCCACAGATTAAGACTAGGCATTTGGGAAACCATAAATATGATGATAACTGTAGGCTCCTTATAAATGCTCTTTATTACAGTAAGAAGTTCTCTTCCGTTCGTTCCTAGTTCTGTGGGCGTTTTTGTCATAAATGCCATATTTTGCTGTGTATAATGTGTCCTTTTTGGCCAAATTTCTGAGGGAAAAATAAGGATGCACATTATACATTTGAATAACATTTTTACATGGCAAAATATGGTAGTTGTTAAATTTTGTCAAATGCTTTTTCTGAATCTATTGAGGTGAACATAGGATTTTTCTTAATTAGTCTATTAATAGAGTAAAGTATATTGATTTTTCCCCTCAACATTGAGCTGTGAATGCATTCCTGGGATGAACCTACACATGATCATGATGTATTATCATTTTTACATATTGCTGCATTTGATCTGCTAGTATGTTATTGGGGATTTTTACATCGACATTCATGACTGATAGAGAATTTTAGTTTTCTTCTAATGCTTCTGTCTGGATTTGTTATCACAGTAATGCTAGCCTGTAAAATGAGGTGGGAAGTGTTCTCTTATTTCTGGAAGACTTTGTATAGAATTAGTGTTGTCTATTCCTTAAATATTTCGTAGAATTTGCCAGTGATACCATCTGGGCCTAGGGTTTTCATTTTTTGAAAGGCTTTTTTAAAAACTGTGAATTGAATTTCTTTAATAGATAAAGGACAATTCAGACTATATTTTTTCTTCATTGAGACTGGGAAGTTTGATTTTTAAGGATTTGGTTTCTTTCTTTGAAGTTAGTAAAATTATGGACATAGTTGTTTGTTCATAATAGTAAGAATAGTAAGGTATTTCCTTACTATTCTTTCAATGTCTTGGGTCAGTAGGGATTTCATTCCTAATATTGATCATTTGTGACCTCTCTCTCACTCTCATTCTCATTCACTGTTTCACTTTATTGGTGAGTCTAACTAGAAGTTTATCAATTTCAAAAAACCACCTATGTGGATTGATCCATGAGCCATAGTTTGACAAAAAAAAGACATAAAACAGATGGAGAAAGATAAACCATGCAAATAGTAATCTAAAGAAGGAGGAACATTGTCAAGAATAAAGAAGGAGAGTATGTAATGGTAAAAGATCAGTCCTCTTAAGACAGGATTCTACATGTGTAGCTTCAACATACATGAGGCTAAAGCTGATGAAATTAAAAGAACAAATTCTGTAATTATAGTTGAAGACTTCAACACTCTTCTCAGTGGTGATGGAAAATAAATATATGATATAGAAAACCTTAATGATACTATCAACCAACTACACCTATTTATCATTTATATAATACTTACAAATCTAAGAGAATAGAAATAATACAAAGTATGGGTTTTTTTAAATATTTTATTTATTTATCTTTAGAGGGGAAGGGAAGGAGAGAGGGAGAGAAACATCAATGTATGGTTGCCTCTCATGTGTCCCCTGCTAGGAACTGGCCTGCAACCCAGGCATGTGCCCTGACTGGGAATCGAACCACAGTTGTTTGGTTCACAGGCCCGCGCTCAATCCACTGAGCTACACCAGCCAGGGCCAAAGTATGTTTTTGAACCATAAAACATCTGGGGAAATCCCCAGTCTTTTGGAAATTAAATAAATATTAAACATTTCTAAATCTGTAGGTTAAAAAGGAAGTCAAAGGAAATTTTAAAAGTTATTTGACTTGAATGCAAATTAAAATTTGACAGTAATTTGTGGGATGCACCTCAATCAGTGTTGAGATGGAAACTTAACATTAGAAAAGTCTTAAATCACTAATTTGTGTCAAGAGTTAGCAAAGTGCACCCCACTACCTGTTTTTATAAAGTTTTATTGGAACACGGTCATGTTCATTTAATTATCTATTATCATTTTTGCTTTCATGATACAATAGCAGAGTTGAGTAAGTTGTGACAGAACCCATTGGGTCTGAAAGCCTAAAATATTTACATTCTGGCCCTTTACAGTAAAAAGAAAAACAAGAAAAAATTGTTTGCGTTGCTTGGACATTGTCCTAGAAAGCAAAAGGTCAGTGGTTTGATTCCTGGTCAAGGGACCAAAAATGAATGAAAGAGGGAATGAGTGAATAAATGAATGACTGAGTGAATAAATGACTTATTTTAAAAAATCAGTGCAGTTGATAAACTTTTTTGAACTCAAAAGACAATAAAGAAGGTAGTATGGAAGATTTGAAGATGCCAAGAAAAGGAAAGAATAAATGAAACAATTAGTATCACATATAGGCAAACAATTCAGTAAATATAGGGGGAGGGTGTTATGTGAAAGAACTTGTTTCTAAAAATGTGTATCAAATTAATTTCAGAATGTATAGGCCATCTGTTTGTATAAATGCTTGGAATCGTAAAACTGTACAGGCGGAGACATCGGTGATCAATTTAATCTTCACCCCACATCCTCACCAGTCTACTAGGAGAGTCCTTTCACTTTCTTCTTCTCTTAAAAATATTCAGATGGAAATTTTTGAGAAGCTTTAAGAGGCATTCTCTACACTAAAGAGTTCTTTAAATTTTTTGTTTAAAGTTCATTTGAATTTTGTATTTTATTCCAAAATATACTGATGCTTATTTTAATATGAAAGTGCTTAATTACCCTCTGTTCTATCAATTAATATTGGTACTTTAGAATGATATGCCAGGTGTATTTTCTGGTTCTGCATACTCCTTAATATAAAGCTAACGGTCTTGGTTTGGGACAGGTTGATTACTCCTTTGGTTTTAAGCTGATGAACAACCCCTTAAATGGAAAGGGCTGGAAACTATGCAAGTAGTTAATATTGAAGTCAGGATCTAAACCCAAGTTTTCTGACCCTCAGTTTAGAATTCTTGCTAGTCTGACACACTGTATTGAATTGTTATCCATATTTGCTTATTTTAAACTGTGCCTGTACTGAGTGTCATTCTTCATGACAGTGGTCTTCCCATCTCCAAACAAAAAAGCATCATGTAGTCAAATTCAGTTTGGGACATGCTACACAGAGAATTTCCCTTTGGAGAATAGTATATTGAAAGGATCAAAGAGACCTTGCATTGAAGAAATAAAATAAGTTGATTTCCTTAGCCTAGTGTTTTCATTTTTATGAGAAACATAAACAACAGTATAGTATTTTGCATGCATCCCCCCCCCCCCAATAGCTGCAGGTTCTGCACCTGGAGATCAAAAATTTTTTGGAAAAAAAGTTATGTTGTTGCTCTTGTTATTAGACCTATGATAGTTATGTCTGTACTGAATATGTACAACTTTTTCCTTGTCATTATTCACTAAACAATACAGTATGACTATTTACATAGCATTTATATTGTATTAGGTATTATAATTTAGAGATTTTTAAAAGATTTTATTTATTTATTTTTAGAGGAGAAGGGAAGAAAAAGAGAGGGAGAGAAACATTGATGTGCAAGACACACATTGATCAGTGCCTCTCACATACCCCCAACTGGGGACCTGGCCCGCAACCCAGGCATGTGGACTGACTGGGAATTGAACTAACAACCTTTCAGTTCACAGGCTGGCACTCAATCCACTGAGCCACACCAGCTAGGGCCTAAAGATGATTTAAAGTATACAGGAAGATGTGTTTAGGTTATATGCAAATACTGTATTATTTTATATAAGGGACTTAAGTATCCACAGATTTTGGTATCTGTGGGGTCCCTTGATAATGAGGGACAGTTGTACTGATTTGGGTGAGAAAAAGTTAGGAGCTACTTACAGGATCATAGTAGTATAACTTTGGAAACTACCAGTTTGAAAACTTCCTGGCTTGTCTTCTCCAGTTCAGTAGAATGTTGAGCCATTTTTAACTCATTTCCAAAAAAATTTTTCTGCAGTGGATCATACATTTGTCCATAGCTATCATGGACATAAAACATTGGGTGCAGTTTTTAATTCCAAAAATTAGCTTGCATTATAAGAAAATGCTCCCTTTCTTTGAATCGATAGGCTCTATAAGGATGAAGACACTAATGGGATTATAATGGACTTCCATTTGAGTTATCTAGAAATAATAATAGCTAATGTATATGTAACATTGCAAAATGCCAGCCACTATTTAACGCACTTTTTATATATTCCTTTAATTCTCATAAAACTTTTGAGGTAGGTAATATTATCTCTCTTCAGTCAGGAAACTAAGGTTAAATAATTTGCCTGTGGTCACATAAATTGATAAGGTATAAAACCACTTAAAACTAAATCTGACACAGTGAAGGAACTAGTCTTTTAACTGCTGTACCTCACTGCCACTGTGGTAAATGAATGATTGTAAATTGATGGAGGAGGGAACGTAAGACTTAAAACTTGTCTGCTTTCAACTCATATTCATTCAACAATAAGTACCTGCCTTGTGTCAGTCCCTATGTTAGTGATTTAATAGCTTGCTAAAAAATATTTTTTATTACTTCTAATCTGTTGGATTAAAAAATTTATATTAGTTATAAAAAAACAAAATTTGCCATCTTAGCCATTTTTAAGTATGCAGTTTAGTATATTTTAAGTATGCAGTGAAGTATATTCACATCACTTTGCGACAGATCTCCAGACCTTTTCAGCTTGTGAGATTGAAACTCTTAACAAACGACTTCCCCATCCCGCTGTAGTCTTCGGCAGTCAGCATTCTTCTTTCTGTTTTTATGAATTGGACTACTTTAGATACTTCATATAATACAGTTATACAGTATTTGTCTTTTGTGACTGCTTATTTTACTTAGCATAATGTCCTCAAGTTTCATGTTGTGGTACATGGCAGGATTTCCTTTTTTAAGGCTGAATAATATCCCATTGTTTACTTATATACCACGTTTTTAAAAATATATTATCTTTCCATGGATATTTGGGTTGCTTTCCTTCTACATCTTGACTCTGGTGCATAATGTTGTTATGAACACAGGTGTGCAAATCTCTCTTCAGTGTGATGCTCTAAATTCTTTTGGATATATTCCCAAAAGTGGTATTGCTGAGTCATGGTAATCTTGTTTTAATTTTTTGAGGACTTGGTGTAGTGTTTCCTGTAGTGTCTGTACCATTTTACATTCTTATCAACAGTACACAAGTTTTCAAATTTCTTTGCATCCCCATCAGCACGTTATTTGCTATTCGTGTGTTTTATAGTAGCCATCCTAATGGCTGAGAGGTTATTTCTCACTGGTTTTGATTGGCATTTCTCTAACGATTAGATTGATGTTGACAATTTTTTAATGTGCTTGTTAGCCATATGTATATCTTCTTTGGAAAAATGTTCAAGTCTTTTGCCCATTTTTTAAATCAGTTTAATTTGTTGTTGAGTTTTAAGGGTTCTTTGTATATTCTGGATATTAAGTCCTTATTAGATACATGATTTGCAGATATTTTTTCCCATTCCATAGGCTGGTCTTTCACTCTGTTGATTGTGTCCTTTGGTGTACATAAGTTTTTAAGTTTGATATAGTCACATTTTCCCATTTGCTTCCTTGTGCTTTTGTTGTCTGTGCTTTTGGTGGCATAGCCAAGAAATCACTGCCAAATCCAGTGTCTTAAAGCGTTTTTCCCTCTGTTGTCTTAAAGAGGTTGTATAGTTTTTGGTCCTGGTGTTTAAGTCTTTAACCCACTTTGATTCTACTTTTGCATATGGTCTAAGCTAAGGATCCAACTTTCTTCTGAGTGTTTTCTCAACATCATCTGTTGATGAAACTTATGTTAGATTTTTTTTAATGCCTTGAAATGAGCTTGTTAGATCATTCAAGGCTGTTTTTCACATTAAAACTCAGTATTTTCTTAATTACTGATAATTGATAGATTTTCCAGTTTTATAGGTATGATGCATTTTTTAAATACAATTTTTAAATGATAGTTCAGCCCTTTTGTTGTTTGTGGAATTTTCACATTTGGGTTTTTTTAGATCAAACTTCTATGGTATATTAAAATTAAATGTTTATATAAGGCAGTTTCCAACTGATTCTGTATTTTTTCCAAATGCTAGGTTTTCAATATATTAAAATGATACGAGCGAAATCTCTAAGAAATGTATTCTAACCCAAAATAAGTGATACAGAAATGTCACATACTTTTCCCTGTTTTTGTTTTTGTTTTGTTTTGTTTTTTTGCTTATAGGGAAGCAGCACGAGAGTGTCGCAGAAAGAAGAAAGAATATGTGAAATGTTTAGAAAACAGAGTGGCAGTACTTGAAAACCAAAACAAGACACTGATTGAGGAGCTAAAAGCACTTAAGGACCTTTACTGCCACAAATCAGATTAGTTTGGGATTTAAATTTCACCTGTACGGTGGAAAAAGAACTGACTTGGCCACAACCAGAGAGACAAAATAAACATTTTATTTTCTAAACATGTCTTTTTTTCTATGCGCAAAACTGCCTGAAAGCAACTACAGAATTTCATTCATTTGTGCTTTTGCATTAAACTGTGAATGTTCCAACACCTGCCTCCACTTCTCCCCTCAAGAAGTTTTCAGCGCCAGGAATCATGAAGAGACTTTTCTGCATTTCATCCCCCACCCTCCTCAAGAAGTAATAATTGGTTTATTTGTAAAATGGGGGAAATGAGGAAAGAAAATCTTTTAGAAAATATTCCAAGGTTAGTGCTGACTGCATTGATTGCCTTAGGGACAGAATTAGTCCAGCCTCTTGAGCTGGAGTGATGGGCTACATGCATAAAGTAAGGTGCAATGAAGAAGTGTGGTTGCCAAATTGACATGTTGTTGTGTTGTCATTGTGGATTATGTAAAATCATTAAAAGACTTTCCCCCCTAAAAAGGATTTTAGTATGGTGTTGAAGAAATTAAGAATGAATTTGGAGTGCTTTTTATGTATATTCTCTTCAGTACTGAAAACTTGTTCTTGATTCTTAAAAACATTCTGTATTAACTACAGTTCTTCCATAGGGCAGTTGTTGCTTCTTAATTCAGTTCTGTATGTGTTCAATATTTTTGAATACATTAAAAGAAGTAACCAACTGAACAAAAAAAGCATGGTATTTTAATTTTAAGTTAAAATTAAGTAAATACAACAAGTACAAAGCTTGTTTCAGTTAGTATTAAATTCTTAGTAAAAAGATGCTCTTTACTCAAACCAGCCCTCTGAGTTATATGACAAGGTTTTTAAATAAATGTTTTTGTCATCGCCTTCAAAAATATTTATATTGTCAATCATTTACTTAAAAAATTTTCTAATTAAATGGTTCCCATTTGCACTTACATTATACCACCAACAGGAAAGCCTTCAAGATGTTAAGTAAAGCAAAGTGATGTATTTGTCTATAAAATGTTATGTTGTAGAAAAGTACTTATTTTAAATTTTTTTCATATTAACACACTTTTAACAGTATCTCTAGTGACTTTTTTAATGGAGAAGTTGTAAGGTATAGCTCTAAAAAGTACACTATCACATGTGGTGAGGAAAGTCAGTTTCTTCAGACATATGTGAATGAATGACTGCTGTAACTACAACATCGAATATCATTCTTGGAAAGCATTGTTGTTTTCTTCTGAAAAGGATAATTGTGCTTTAGACTTCCAATATGCTATATAGTCTTTGTCATTCTATAAAGGGGATACATTTTTAACTCCTAATTATAACAGTCTGTGTTTGTATGTATCATACATTGTTTTCATTACTACTTTTTATTATTAATTAATCATTTTATTCACTAAGCCTGATAAATCTAAAAGTAATCCTTTAAAAGAAAAATAAGACTAAAAAAGACTAAAGTGGACTTTAAAAATTAGAGATCGACATGTTAGATATAATTTTTCACTTGAGAAGATTATTTCTTTGTAAAAGTCTAGAAAATTAATGTTTTATATTTAGTCATGGTTATTTTTTAAAGTTGTTAATGTGTTAAAATATGCAGGTGGATGTTAATTATTGGGTCCAGTTTGAAAAGATTTTAAATTAATATTTGTAAATGGTATATTTTTGTTTGTAACAAACCATTGTCTTTTTTCAAGGATGAACAGTCTATGAAAGAGCGTCATTCTAAGAGTTGAGTGGTGTAGTATATTTGGACAATACGTCAGGTTCTCAAGAAGGCTTTCAAACGACTGTAGCGTTTGATGTTTATCCTGCTGAGCTAACGGGGAAAGTTATAGCATGAAAGTTATTTGTATAGTAGCACACTTACGTCATTTTCCAAAACTGGTTTAACAGAAACCAAGCAAAATTACAAATCTATTCACCAACTAGAATCCTTTCATAATGAGTCGAAATGTCAAAGTGAACATTTTGAATGTCATAAGGCTTTGTAAATGAAAATTGCCTAGTATTTAGCAAGTTGTAAACTAAAGTTAAACGTTTTTTCAAAAGTTGGGGCTTTCTGTCTCATCAGAAAGTCGGTGGTCCTCTTAGTCCCTGATACATCAAGGCGCAACCACCTCCATATTAGTTGGTTGAGTTTGTAAGTTACAAAGATGGAGTCCTTCCTACCTTGGGGATGATTGCACTGGTTTGGTCAGTTACTTGATGGTGAAGTAAGAAATGTATTCTGTTGATAAATCTGTTTGAGACCCTTGGAGAGACTTGAAGATTTCAGTTTATACAGATAGAAATTAAGCATCTTTTGTGCAGACTTTTTTTTTTTAAACAAGCATTGGGGGAAAGGTGTTTGTTTTTAAGCATGCGACTTTGAGAATTTTTATTATGAAAATGACATAATTAAAAAAAAACCTTGTAGCCAAGAACATACGTGGCCACGTTACCAGTAATAAATGTTTTTTCTCTTCATGTTGGCCAAAAGGGAATGAAAATGTCACCATAAGAATCTGTACATAGCTACTGATTTGCCTAGAAAATAGTTTGGTATCACTTTGCAAACATAGGGCCATGTGGCACTTTTATCTATAGAACAGATTAACTAATGAAAATGAAGTGGGAGGGGTTTATTTTTGATATGACTGTTAGTTTTCAAGCTTTGATAGTGTTTAACTGAAAAGTGGTTTAGAAAGGGCTAGATCCAATGTGTTCACATTGTTAAAAAAAAACAATTGCTATCAGATGTAACTTGACATTCATTCTTTTTCAAACTCAAGTACCATATTGGCAACCATAATACTGTCATTGGTGCTCTGTTCATTTAGATATTCTGGGGGGAGCAGTGGCGTTTGTATAATATATGTGTACATATATATATATATACATACAGTATATAATCTGAAGCTCTGAGAGCTCTTAAGTCAGGAATGCTGAGTATTATAGTATATTGAGGTCAGATGAATTTTTACATTTTTGCGTGTTCTATTGCATATCTTTTTGTAGTTTCTTGGACTGCATTACTCCAGCACTCATGATTGATTTTTTGTCCTCTAATTTTCTTCCAAGTATTTCTTTTTATTGTTTTGGGTTTTTTTGGCTTGATACTTTTAAATATGTTACTAGTCACTTGAAAACTTCCCTCCGCCCCACCCCCCAAAATATTTGTTTTTTATGCTTTGTCTCTGGCAGCTATAACAGTGGTGAGAACATTTTGAAGATAGCTTCTAAAAGGTACCGCTGATATTTCAAAAAATCATCCTAGGGGAGGATTTGAGTGTTTTCATTTGCCCAGGGATTTTGTCAGAAAATGTGTGTGCGTGGTAGGTCAGCAGCAGTGCTCGTGTGGGAAAGCACGGTGCCAGCCAGGCAGGCTGTCCCGTCAGAAGCCAGACGGCTGAAGGTCATCTCCGTCTCTCAGGCTGACTCCCTATCAGCATTTTGACCATTTGGGTGACATGTGGAATTGTACAAAGGCTTAGGAAGAAAACACAAGTTTGTTTAAATCAGGATGCTTTTGCTTACTTGAAGTGACTTCCATTTAGATTTCTTTTCACTTTTAATATGTTTTAAATTCTATGATTAGCTACAGTCAGCATAAATTGGTCTTTTTATTTTAAAGATCAAAGAGGCTGCTTCATTTTGCAGGATTAAATAAAGCTGATGTCTTAAAAAGTTAAGATTTTTGAATTAAAGTGTGTTTTAGAAACAGTGGTTATATACCTTTTCAGTTATTTTTCAAGAGGCTTTATTTTATTGTCTTCATAGCCCTGAGAACTATTGGTGTATTGTGTCCCATTGACAATACAAAAGTTGTATATTTATTTGGATTATATTTACATTATATTCTTTGTAAATGTTTGGTGTAACTTGCACTTTTAAAAATGACCCAGTTTGGGTATTTAGCAACTTGAGAAATTTCCTCATCAGTTAATTGTCAACTTAGTCTTTCTCCTTTCTTCAAATAACTGGACATTTTTTAATGAAAACTTTTCATTGAATCAGGAAATTAGATTTGACTAGACCAGTTAAATAGAAGATGGGTCCAAATCCTTATTCTTTTTCATTATGGATAAAGATAGGGGGAAAAAAGCAACTCATGTGAATAAATATTTCCAATTTTAAATAGACTCTTATCCTCACCCCAACATTAATACTGTCTATAGGATGCCAAGATATTCATGGATTTGTCTAGACTGGTAAAAGATTTTTCAAGGCAGTTAAGTACTGTAATAATGGAAACTGCATGTAATCATTTGACTAAATTCATTTCACCTAAAATTGGCCTTGTTAACATAAGAGACATGCTGCCTAGTTCTGACTGACTTCAGATGAGGAGGGAGAAAGTAAAGTATGCTGCCTGTCAGTGGAGAGTGGTGGGGTACATTTGCTCACTCAGTTGTACAAAGCACAACTAGAACTTATGAGTGGCTTACATACATCTTGAGTACTTTAATGTTGATGTGTTGACTTACTTTAAGTTGACTGCATAGTCGCTGTATGTACTAGGAACTGGTTTCCTTGACTTTCTAGAATCAATGGCTAGGAGAGGCACTAATCCCTGAGGGGTTGAACATATCGTGAAGCTGAGTCAGTATGGAAGAATTTCAAATAAATCAAACAGGGTGCTGAAGTTCCATCTGTCTCATATGCTTACGATAAGTTCTTGCTGATTAGTGAATGTAGCTTAAGCCTTTGTATATGTCCTCAGGGGGCAGACAAACTTAAGAGGGACCAGATAATATTTGAATGGAAGGATTATATTTCAGGTGTTTTAGCTTGAGATTTATTTTTTAAAAAAATAAAAATTGAAAAAAAAATAGAACAAAGCCTGTGAAGCAAAATTGATACCATAAAACAGGCAGAGTTGTTCAGTACAGGGAGAAAATACTGACCTGTCTGCATTCTGGTACTGTGGCTGCAGGTCCTAGCTTGGTATAACATGATACATTAATTGTCACCAGCAAGAAAAAGGAAAACAGTCTTCGGGAAATGTCTTTAAAGAGGGTCAAGCAGTAGGAAATTCGGATTGTACCTGCTTTATTTACTTGCCTGCAGAAGCATAGCTTTTCTAAGCTGCTGTGTGAGAAGCATCGCAGAGACGTGCAGGTAAACCTGAGATAGTTGACAAATTGGTAGGGAGGGAGGAAAATCCCTGCAGATACGACCTACGTTAGTTGGCCAAGTGAAATGATCTAGCATTGTGTTTGGGAGGTTTTATTTTCTTAGGTTATTAAAATTGAATTGGTAAATGCTTTATAGACATATTTTTATCCAGACGCCACTCCAATTTGTGTATGTAATAAAATTATATTAAAAGTGGGAGATCATTTGTCAACATTTTTCTGTGATTAGATTAGGGGTGGTGAGGAGAGTGCTTGTTAGCAGTTTTCCCTGTCGAGTTGTCTCTGACTGGTCTGTCCACACGTCAGTTGTCGTCCCCATCCCAAAAAGGAATTATTTCTAACCTGGGTGTATCACTTGAAATTTTTTAGAAACAATAATCAGGGAAGTTTCTAGAGAAAGAGGTGTTTGCTTTTTTTAGTTTTCCCTTGAGGATTGGGGTAATGAATACCTCCCCCCAAAATTATCAGCACAAAACAGGGTATTGATATTTAACTCTGATGTTGCTATTGGAGTTGAATACTAGATAAAGAACTATAATAAGAAATATACATTTCTAATAAAATTTCCTACATTCTAGAAGCATCCCTGTTTTAATTTTTTTACCTAAATCTTTTTGTGCTTCACTTGTGTAAAAAAAAAAAATGTACTGAGTTCTAAAGCATTTTATTAACACTATGTACATATTAGCTGCTTTGTGTTCAGAATGGTAGCATTGCTTTGTATATTAAAGTGATCCTTGTGAATTTGTGAAATATTGTCATAAAGTGCTTTTTCTTACTGTAATCTTTGTGGTAAAAACTGTCATAATGCCCTTTTACACACAATTACATGCAGTCACATAAACATGCTTTTAAAAACTGTTGTCTCTTTTTTGGGGGTGGGATCTCTGTATTTTGCTTTTTGCAAGTAGCATTAAGCTATATTTTCTTGGACTTAACATTTATTTTATTAAATTAGCAAAGTTATGTTAGAATATATCACAGGCTTGTGTTGCACACCAACAGAAAACTAATTCAAGTGGCAAGAACATATCTTCAGTTAATTTTATTGTCTCCCTAATTTTTAGCACAAGATTTCTTTGTTCAGTAAGATTGAACAGTGCCTACTTGAAGATTTGGAGGTGTTCCCACTCTACTGAAAATATGACCAGCTCTCTCCGATGTCATAAAATGTGTGTTTGCATTGGAAGAACAGTAACAATAGATAACTTCTCAGGTCTCCTTATAATTCTGAAGTTTTGTGATCATATGAAAGGGAATGTAGTTAATCTGCTCTTTGCTTGAAACATAAGAATAAAAGACTCATATTGATTCATTTTCTGAAAATAACAGTTGAATTTATTCTACAGTACCTCTGTTACCCAGCAATTGTACTAAAGGAACTAAATGACTTTCATTCTTTTTTTTTTTCTTCTACAAGAGTGACTACAGAATTTATTGTAGAAATAGGCATTTTTGAAGGTGAAAGTATAATGTTAATAGGACAGCAGGCATAAACCAGGTTGCCCCGCTCGTCAGCCACATTTAGGTGCATGGATGGATCTCCAATAAAAGCACAGGGTACCTATCTTCTCTTTGGGCATGTCTTTGCTGTCACTTGTTCAGTTACAGTTTTAGTCCTGAACTTCAGACTCATTTGTCATCTGCACTCTGTAAAGCACAGGTCCAAAACAAAACTTAATTTCTTCTCTACATCTGTTCTTCGGCTTTTTTTTTTTTTCTCTAGGTGATGCCACTATTTGCTACAGCTTAAGCCAAAGCCCAGAAAAGCACTGCATTGATCAGTGTTAGCCTTCATCTCGTGCACTTTAAGCACATGGACTGAACTGGGACTTGGAATTCTAATGGCCTAACGAGTGAAGAGGAAGGTAAATTTTCAGGAGTTTCAATGCTATTTTCGTTTTTTATTGAGGTGCAGTTCACATAACAAAACCTATTTTAAGTGAACAATCCACTGACATTTAGTGCATTCACAAGACACTACGGCCACCTGTATCTAGTTCTAAAACATTTTTATTGCTCTAAAAACCCTGTACCCCTTCTTCATTTCTCCGTTTTCCAGCCTCTGGCAACCAGCAGTCTTTCTGTTTGTACAGAATTTACCTCTTCTGGATAATATAAACGGACTCCTTTCGTGTCTGGCTTCTTTCACTTAGCAAGTTTTTGAGGTTCTTCCACATTCATCAGTACGTGATTCCTGTTTGTGGCTGAATATTCCATTATATACATATTATAAGTGTATTCACTTGATGGGACATTTGGGTTATTTCCACCTTTTGCCTATTGTCGGTAGTGCTGCTGGGAACACTGACGTGCAGATGTTTGAGTCCCATTCTGCTGGGCCTGCATACACTTGTGCACCCATCAGTAGAACTGCTGGGTCACACGGTACTTCTGTTAACTTTCTGAGGAACTGCCAAACTTCCTCTGGCTGTACCATTTTACATTCCCACTGGTGAAGTATGAGGTTTCCAGTTTCTCCGCATGCTGGCGTAACACTCGTTATTTTGCTTTCTTAAAATTGTAACCATGCTCATGTGTGAAGAATCACTGTGGTTTTGATTTGCAATTTCTTTAACTGCCGACTTCAGTGTCTTCATGTTTTTGTTGGTCATTCACATATCATTTGGAGAAGTGAGTGCTCAAGTCCTTCGCTAATTTTTAATAATTTTTTGTTCAGCTTCTTGAGTTCCATACATATTCTAGATATTAGACCCTTCCCAGATAAAAATGGTTTGCAAATATTTCCTCCAGTTCTCCAAGTTTTCTTTCCACTTTTGTGATAATTTCTTCATTTGAACTCAGTTTTTAAAGTGATACGTACATTTGGAAAAAATTAGATGGACGAACACTAAAATGTTGGTATCCTTCTAGTGCAAATCTACACGCAGGGTGGGGCAAAAGCAGGTTCACAGTTGTTGATATGGGAAGTAATACAGTAATAAGTAACAATATAAGAGCAAACTGATGTATTCACAACTATCAACCTACTTTTGCCCCCACCCCCGTGTATACGCAAATGTAATGGAGATCCCCCTCCTGTCCCCCTTTTTTACGTAAATGGCGCTTTTCTCACTGAATGTGCCTTGGCGATAGTTCCATTTCAACATACATATGTACATATATCTATTAACAGGTATGTAATATACCATTATATAAAATAACCAGTAACCTTTTTTGGACATGTGGGTTGCTTAAAACTGTTGACTGTTACAGGTACACATTTCAGCAGAGACACATGCAAGCTAGTAAATCTAGATACTGAGAAGTGGAAATTAAGTATGGTTTTCTTCGTATTTGGAGGTTGTTTCTTAAATATTAAAAACCTGCTAAATTAATAAAAATATGTTGGTTAGTTTTCCTTTATGTCAAACTTCACAGTGTGTGTTTTGTTTGTTTTTTGAGGAATTAAGACCAGAAGTAGCAGAGCCAGGCTTCACGAGGTAATGACGTAGGTGGACCTTCCTGTTTCCATCTCCGTTACTGTTTTCCCTTTAGTCTCCCTCTGAAACTGCCCTTCTCACCAAGGAAACAGGTGTTCAGTACTCCCTCTGTTCTAGTGTTACATTTTAACCTTTCCCAGGTGTTGAGAAACAAAAGCATAACAAAACTTAACAGTGGAAAGAAACTTTGGAGTTAACAAATCCTTATCTTTTAAAGTGCCATTTAAAAAAAGAACTGAGGACCACCCTGATTTCATGCAATTTCTGTCAGTGCTCGGGGGACCCAAGCCTCCAATTTCCCAGAGCAGGACTCTCTACTCACAGCCATGTCTTGCCTCCTTCTTGTTGAAGAACTTTATGACGTGCTACTTCTGTCTGGATAGAGGTTCCGGGAGCAGAACCATGACTGCTTCTCTGGCACTAAAGTAAATCACATGTCTGTTTCACAGAGTTATGCCAGACTTTATTCTAGGACCTGTTACCAATACTGGAACGTTAAAAAGTGGTTTTCGCCCTGGCCAGCTGGCTTGGCTGATTGGAGTGCTGTCCACGCACCAGAAAAGTTGCCAGTCCCATCCCTGGTCAGGGCACACACACCTAGGTTGTGGGTTTGGTCCCCTGTTGGGGCAGGTACAGGAGGCAGCTAATGGATGTTTCTCTCTTTCCCTCTCTAAAATCAATAAATATATCCTGGGGTGAGGGTGTTTTTAAAAAGTGATTTTTAAAGTATTGCAAGCCCTGGCCAGTGTGGCTCAGTTGGTTAGGAATGTTGTCCCATATACCAGAAAGGTCGCGGGTTTGATTGCCAGTCAGGGCACATAGCCAGGTTGCAGGTTTGGTCCCCGATCAGGAAGTGTGTAAGAAGTCAACCAACCCACATTTCTCTCTCACACTGATGTCTCTGTCTCTCTTCCTCTAAAAGCAATGGAAAAATATGTCCTAAGGTGAGGATAATAAATAAATGTACTTCCAAACTTCTATTTTCTTGGTTTAAAAATTGACAGGAAACACTTCTACCTTTCAAACACCATAAACTGAAAGCCTGATAGTTTGATAACCCTGATAATGTACTTATTCCTTACCTTGGTCAAAGGAAAATAAGGCAAAGAAATTAGGCAATTTAATAGGATAATTCATCTGTAGAGGAATCCGTATTTTTCATGAGTAAATGTTTCTTGAACTCCCTTTATGAAGAGGGCACCGTGTTAATATTTGAAATATAAAATATGAGGTACAGTTCGTGTCTTCAAGGAGCATAAATTGTATTTGGTAAGACAAAACATTCCAGACTCTGTTGCTATTCTGCCCTGAGTTTCCAACTGAGTATTCAGTTAATTTGGATAAAATATTCTCATCTATTAGAATTCTGATCCTTTTGAACAACAGAAGAAGTGTTCCGCTAGAAGCTATATGAAGATGCTACCGGGGCTTTGGGTAGTTCCTTCATGAACTAAAGCAAGAGGCCCTAGGAGGTAATCATGTCAGAAAACGAGAGCGGCGTGCGCTGGCGCGGCGGTTCTCAGACCTGACGTCGTCCATGCCCTGGCGCCCAGCGCCCTGGCAGCCCCGTCTAACTTCCGCTGGGAAAAGGGTTCCTGACGCCACTGGATGGCGGAACAGTCAGTGTGCACTCGGTTTCTGTCCTGAATTTGAGGATACAACAAGCACACCTAAAATGCACATTTTATGGGATACGTTAATCCCTTGAAGTGAAAAAAGTCACAACGGTGTTGATTGATACTTATGGTGGACACTGGCATAGTCCAGAGGCTTATTCCTCCAAGCCCAGCCTTCCCACACACCAGCCTTCTGCAGCACTCATTTCCCCAGCTTCCAGGAGTGGTGGCTGATGGCTGAGTCCCTCTCCAGGTACCCTCTTCAGCTCAAAGCTACGCCCCTTGGATCCAATGTCTAAGCTGCACAAGGATGTAAAGCCCCGCCCCTTGCCTTAATATGGCCCAGCCGCATTCTGAATTCACCGGGGATTTCCTGCCTGAGTCTCAGAACAATTTTTTCCTCTTTCCAGTTTCCGAGTTCTACTACTTTACTCCCTTGGAGACGTGGATCTAGAAAGCAGTCCCAGTTAAAATGTCTGCACCACCTCTGATTAATATGATTTCTGGTACCCAAATGTGATTGGGCTTTCACTGGTGTTGATGACGTTGTAGGGCGTGTGGTTGTTTTAAAAGCCCTTCCTGTGCAGTACTGGCAGTGTGGACTGGGTACGCTGTGGGTGTTTGTACAGGTGCATTGATCAGAACTGCGTTAAACTGGCACCTCACAGAATGCTCAGGACTTTCAATTCACCTCTATTAAAATTGCAGAAAATAATGTAGCAGGTATTTTCACATCCAAGATATTCATTCAAAGGTTAAGAGGAAAAGGAGGTCTTATTTCTGATGTTTTGCAAAGGAAATCTATCTCATATCAAATACCATACTCAAATTATAATATTCTTGTCTAAATTTGTTTAAGCTGTTGTTTAAGTTGTACATTGTAAAAAGGGGGGGATTACATTGATGTGTGTGACTTCATAAACTCTGTCAGAGGCAATCATGAATGAATGTAGGAATCATTTAGCCCAAAGATCAATATCCTCTAAATAGAATGTATCTTTGTCACTCAACAAATGTTTGGTTTGATGCACTAGATACTGAGGAGGCGACCGGGAAAGAGGCAGGGGCATTCCTGGTCCTCAGGAAGCTTTGTCTTCTGGGGAATCCACACACTGAGTAAGCAACTACAAGTACAACACAGAAGGCACTTGTACTTGGGGAGCTAACCTCTCGTGGAGGGGTGGTACTTATTTTATTGTCCTCCTGTGCACTGCAAGGAGGCTGGAAAAGCCTAAGAAAGAAACACAAAAACGTTTGAGAAAGGGGAAAGCGAAGGGGAAAACTACAGCTTTTGATGTGAAGATGAGAACCTAGTCACAGCACATGGAGGTCTAAGATTTCAGACGCTTTCAAAAGTAACTAAAACTTTATTTTTACTTATTCCTTTGTTTACATACCTAAAACTGAAATGAAACCAAAATGCACAATATGAGACCTTAGAAAACTCACACCCCGATCTCAAACAACCAGAAGTACTTAAGTCCTAAATGGGCAGAAAAAAGATTTCAAGAGAATTAACAGCTCAGGGAATGTATGTTAAACTACCTGTTTTATATTCAGAAAGTGAGGGAAACCGGCTACACATGTATCTCAGAACGTATTTAAAATGATTTGCGTGATTCGGTCTCTGTCACTGCTCTGAAGACACCTCACCACCAGCCCTGCACCATTTCGTCCAAGACAACCGCGTGCAGAGAGGGAGCTGCACGGACTGCAGACCCAGCGCAGACCAGAGCTGCGCGCTCCCCTTTCACGCTGACTGCGTTTCTGAGTGAGTAACACATGACAAGCCACAGCAACGGGGCAGAGTCTGTTGCTGCTTTGTTTTTAAAACTGCACATTTGCTTTGTCACGTGAGCAGCTTTAGGTAGACTTCCCATTCAGTACGCCAGTTCATTCAGTATGGTTTGATTCCCAGGAGAAGGCCTTAACGGACATGTTTAATGACAAGATTCCTATAAATTATAGCCAACTATAAGCCCTCCCTCTGGTTTCTCTTCTGTGCTTTGTAAATATGGACATCTTTTTCGGGATCATAGTGAACTTGACTCACTGTAAATTGCCTCTCCAGCATCAGTAAGAAGTTGTTATCCCGTTCATAACGAATTCGGCAAGCTAAAAGAATCACGGAGTGGTCGCTACACAGATGTTCCAAAGTCCGAAGAAGGTCTGTGAATGTTTCTTCTAAATATATGATATCGGCTCCAAGTATCAGGTCAAATTCTCCAGGTGAAAAAGTCCCCAAATTCTGTCCCCAAGTCAGCTCCTTAACAACAGCTCTGGGTTGGATATGGACAGGTAAGTTGGCTTGAACGTTTGATTTAAGAAATTCTAATGCTACTTTTCGATCCGTGATAGTCACATGAGCACCTGGAATGTGGGACAGAGAGAAAGTAATGGGCAAATCAGTACAACTAACAGGTAATAGGGCCAAGTTCAATGGCAGGTGAGTGTGTCTAAAGACTCCACCTGATACGGAGATCACGCCCTTCAAGGATGGTTGCAATAGATTAGAACAATGACCAGTAGCTCTTTCTACACGGCCTACTAGTAAAAGTGAACTTTACAAAATGCAGGGTCCCCAAGCGACGACCACCTGAGGCTTCTTACTTCAGCAGGCAGAGTTGGCCCACCTCCAAAGGTGTCCACCACTGTATTTCATTCACTAGGTCGCAATCTTCAAGCCCAGTTGGCTTGAGGGTGGAATGGAATCCAAGAATGAAACGTCTGGGAGCAAGTAATTATAAAGATGACAAGATACCAAAAACAGAGAAGGGCTGCTTTCTGGGGTTAAAGCTTTAAAAACAATCTAGGAAGAGATTAATTGGGTATGAAGAAATCCTAGTCCACTTCTCCTCATGCTATTATAAAGCAGCTAATCTATATGTATTTATTATATATATATATATAAAATTATTGAAAAATGGGAAACTTACAAATTACTAGATCATGGCACACTCTCCCCCTTGGGAGCACACCACACACTCCCCGTTCCCCTCTCCTCCCCCCTCAGCCACGTCTGTAAGCCTTACCCTCCCCCCTCCTTACCCCTCCCCCTCCTTCCCCCTCCTTCCTCCTTACCCTCCCCCCTCCTTACCCTCCTCCCTCCTTACCCCTCCCCCTCCTTCCCCCTCCTTACCCTTCTCTCCCCTAAGCTCCAAGGCCCTTCTTCACTCCTGTAACTTGTTTCCTGAGCCCGTGAACCCCAGCTGGCCCATTTCTACTACCTCTGTAACTTTCTAAACAAACCTTCCCATTTTCCAATTTGGAAAAAAAGAAATTCCTGGGTTGCATTAAAGTACTGCAGGCTGAAGTGTGAAGTCCTGTCCTCCACATGCCATGTTCCTGCCTGCAGTGTATAAAATTAACGAGGCGGTACTCAATAATCTCATTCTTGTGGGTATTCACCGTGAACAAAAGATCCAGTTTTTTGAACCAATATATCTGAGAGAGGCTGAACCCTTACAATGAAGCCCAGAAACACTTCATCTCTATTATAATAACAATATAATATGTATAACGTTATCTCATTTGTCCCCTGTAAATTCTGAAATTTAAACTGGTGTTCGCTCCCTTCACCAATGATCTCTTGCTCGCCTCTCTCTCCAGTGTGTGATGCTCACGGGCAACCCCTCAGCCCCCCAGACCTGCAGAGCAGCTACGGAAAGCATTTCAGGCGCAGCTCCTACTTGACGTTTCTTATCTTGACTTGTAACATTAGGCCAGGACGGCACGCGATTCAATCTGACATTTGCAGTCCTGAGTGGGAGACTGCGGAAATGTTCGAGTTGTTAGATTTTACAAGCACAGGCCTCCCGCTTGGTCCATCCACAGCGCGTGGCCTGGTGAGCCAAGCTCCGTGACACTTTCATCTCTCCTGATGACACACGTCACAGGCAGCCTTCTCCTGGTTTGACTCAGACCTTTATCTCTGGATTTCTCTACAGTCCACAGAGCACCGTGCCCAATGCGGAGCGATCCAGGGCTCCGCCTACCATCTCGGTGTTCACCTCGCCAGTGCCGAGGCGCAAACCTCTGCTGCCAGCCTCAGGATTTCCGAGGCTCCTCCTGACTGCTAGGTGTTCCAGGATCTTCACGGCTTCTTGATGGCAGCTGACCATTCCTCTGGGAAGTCCCTCAGTTCTGCAAAATCTGAGTGGCCACCACCAGCCACCAGACAAAACCCTCACAGAGCCTGCCTTCCAGGGACGAGGTGAACAATAGAGGTTTTTAAAAAGAACACCCAGTATGTGAGAGAAATGCCCTTAGGAAAAAAATAAATCAGGACAGACAGACATGAAATATCAGGAAGCAAGGGAGGCGGTTGTGAAGTTTTAGACTGGGTAGAAGGGGACGGCCTCTGAGAGAGAGACAGACGCCAAGGCCTGAAGGGAGAGGAAGTACCCGGAGCACGTGGGGGGCAGATGACTTCGGCAGGCGGGAGAGCAAGCTCAAGGGCCTAGAGGGGAAGGAAAGGAGGAGGCTGGAGGGACTGAAATGATCGAATGAGGAACAAAGCAGGAGGAGACAAGTCACAACAGTAGCAGGAGGTGGGGCAGGTCACCCAGGGCCTCTTTGGTCTTGATTTGAAAAGGCTTTGGGTGAAAGGGATTAAGGTGAAGGGATTAAGAAGCAAGAACAGGTAGTTAAGAATAGGAAGTTAGGAACAATCACAGGGCTGCAAAGTACAGCTCGGGAAACACAGTCGGTAACATGGTGATAACTACACCGGGTGTCAGCTGGGGTACTGGAAATAGCGAGGTCAACACTGTAAAGTATCGACTGTCTAACCATTAAGCTGTATACTTGAAAGCAATACAAAGTAAAATTGGAAGAAAAAAAAACACACAAGAAAAGGCTTTGGCTTTTTCTGATTGAGGTGGGAAGCCACTGGAGAGCCCTGAGTACCTGTGAATGATCTCCCTTTGGTGGTAACGGAACTCCCAGCCGCGGGCAGGAAGCAAGCAGAAGGTGAGGAGGTCAACACAATGACCCCGGCAGAGGCCTGCACCTTGCACCTTGCTGTTACCAGCCCAGACACCCACCACGCGCCGTCTTCCAAGCACAGCCATCTTCCAAGCACAGCACCCACGAGCAAGCCACTCTCCTGGGAACCACTCTGTCGCCGCCCACTGAATTTGATCACCCAAATGTCCATCGATGTGGCTTCGTTCTGGGGTTTTCTTTGTTGGTTTGCGGGGAGGGAATACAGAGGACATCATTTGTGCCCTGTAACTTAGTTTCTTTTAATCACTTTCCTTTCCATCTTTTTTCCTGTGGAATGTAGGGAAGAAATAGTTTGTTCCACGGTTTCCCCATAGTCAGGACTTTGCTGATTGTACCATTTCTATCGTTTAGTATGTTCTTATGTCCTTTGTATCTCCTGTGAATTTTTTTGATTTGAGTTGAATTTGTTGAACAAGACTATTTCAGAGATGGTGGTGTGTTTTCCTCAAGAGGAACCTGGTAGGCTCTATTTTTGTGATGTGAGCAGCTCAGATCCGTAATTCATTAGATTCCTTTTGCATTATTTGTTAAGAAACTTTGATAAAGAAAAGCTTCTTCCCCTGCCTGGTGAGGCTCAGTGGATTGGGTGCTGGTCTGCACACCAAAGGGTCGCTGGTTTGATTCGAGGTCAGGGCACATGCCTGGGTTGTGGGCCAGGTCCCCACTGGGGGGTGCGTGAGAGGCAAATGCACACTGATGTTTCTCGCCCTCTCCTTCTCCTTCCCTTCCCTTTTCTCTAAAAATAAATAAATAAAATATTTTTTAAATGCTTCTTTCAATGGCTATTTGTTTATTCATTGTATATAGGAACTGTTTTAATAAGAAAGGAAGGATAACTGTTGCTCCTCCCTTCTCTCTTATAAACCAGATTTCAAAATAAAGAGTGGGTTTCTAAGCATCCTCCAAAGACAACTGTTTAGGTTCTGTTGTAGTTGTTGTATCATGAACTCATGGGTTACACAGTTTTGATGGACTGTAAGTCCCCTGCTGTTGTCGTTATCGATGTCCATGCTGTCCTGTCTCTTGCCAGTAGACTTTTGACCCAACCCATGTCATTCTTGACAGTGTTCTTACTCTCTGGTATAACGAGACATTCCAGGGCTCTCTTACTCGTGTCCTGCCACAGACCTACAGTCAGCCACTTGATAAAGTTTTTATTTTTTAGATGGGAGAAATACCAGCAAGTTTGCATGCATGGTGATGGGGATGATCAGGCGGAGAGTGGGGGACATGAGGACAGAGAGAACCTCTGGAGCAAAAGCAGAGACCCTGGGCCAGCCACAGCGGGGGCAGTGGCGGTGCCGGGAGGCCCCGGCAGCTCTCCTCTGGTTGCTTCGATCTTCTGCGTGAAAGAAGAGTCAGGATCACCAGCGAGGAGTGAGGATGGAGGAAGGACTGTGGGCTTGCGGGGGACGGGAGGCAGCAGTGTGACTGCTCAGCAGCATTAACCCCCCGAGGCTCCGGATTACGAATCCAAAATGAGTCCAGCAGCAGTGCGTGGCCTCCCGCCACCTCCGCTGCCCAGGTCTGTGCCTGGAGCAAGTGGACAGCTGCCCTTAACCTTGTTTTCAGCCCAGTGAGGACGATGAAGCGAGGCAGGGCAGGGTGTTGACGGTATGTGAAAACGGTGGTAACGATGAAGATAAAATTACTGCCTGCTGTCCATGCCGGAGGAGGAGGGACGTGAGGCGATATTCAGTTCATAAAAGACTAAGGGAAATCGACCCAGCAAGGCGACACAGCCTGCTCTCAGTCTTTAGGTAAAAGAATGTGTAAATGTTTGTCCTCACTTTTGGTTTTTTCCTTTTGTAGGTAATGACTTAATTTATTCAATTATTCAGGCACCTACTGTGTGCTAGAGGTACAGAGAGGAGCGAGGTAAACCCAGCTCTCTCGGAACGCAGCCTCACGAGGGAAAGAGACATAAGCACGTCGCAAGTAGAAACCAGAAACAGGTGTGCACAGCCCGCTCCTCGGGAGCCGGAGGGGAAACAGATACATGTACAACTTCCCAGGAGGCGCGGGGACCTGCTGGGACAGAGGTGGGAAGTATACCAAGTACAGAGGGGGAAAGGACTGAGACAGCCATTAACTTTGCTCTGGGGCAGGAAGGAACTCCACGAGGTGACAGGGAAGCTGGGTGGGGGAGCACACCTCCCCCAACCACAAGAAGGCTGTCTGCCATTCCAGCTGCTCCCGTAGCTTTTGGCGACAACAACTCGCTACTCCCTGGCTCTGTGACAGTCTTGGAAGAGCCTTATCCTGACTTTCCCAACTGCACAGAACCACATGTCTGGACCAGCAACGGAAATACTCAGAGAGGCAATCAGTACTAGTGGAGCATTTACTTTGTGCCCATCGGTGAGCTAGCAGATTTCTACACGCATCTCATTTGATCCTCAGCGTGGAATGAATGAGATTATTTCCCCCTTATATCAGAAAATTGCAGTTTGGAAGTTAAACAATTTGCCCAAGGACACACAGCTAGTAGAAGTTAAAAGAGGTGTCAGAACCAAGTATAATTCTAAACCTATGCACTCCATTACCGCGCTAGTACGTCAATGCCAGCCAGTGGCATTCTGCAGGACGCCCTTGTTCCCAGGAGGGAGCCTCATTTCCTGTCCCAGTTAAGTCCTCGCTTAGCAGCAGAAGGAAGTCAGCATTGTGGAACGAGGAGAACTTGGGCTGCTGTGTCTGACAGGCCTGGTTTGAGTCTCCAGGCTCTGAGGACCAGGACATCAGAGAGGCTTAATCTCCCAGCACCCCAGTTCCATTTGAAAATGAAAATGGAAGATAATGCCTAATGTACATGTAAGGCCAACCTCAGGAGAACAAAAGGCAACGTAGCAGCAAGGGCCTCCTCGGTGGCAAAGTGCTGCATCTCCAGACAGAAACCGAAGTCAGTTCATTCGTATTTTTAACCACCACCCCTGCCACGCTCCCCATTAAGTTTTGGAAAGCAGAATTTCAACAGAGAAAGGAGTGCTGAAAATGAATGAAGTTAGGAGAGGGCATAAATGAGTTGGGAGTTGGCCTCGCCCGCACCTGGGGCCTCGTTAGAAAGACCTCGGACCTTACGACACGCAGACCTTCGGAATCAGAAACTGCCTTTTAACAAGGGCCCCGAGGGACAGCACTGAAGTGGGAATATTCCCCATGGAATCCTAGAGGCTGGTCTGTCCTTGTCATTGCCTAACTCAAACTGTACTAAGGTGCTAAGGTCTGTATACCAAACAAAAAAGAAAATGGCAAACCCTGATACTAATCAACTCGGAACTGTATACCGTTAAAACGATTTTTCAATACAAGATGCCAGTACAAACTGAGGCAGGGCCGGCCCTTCCTAAAAGGTAAAAACCAGTTTCCTTAGCAGCGAAGCGGAAAGACTCTGCTCTCCTGCCGCACAGGGTTAGAGGCGGCAGTGTGTGGGAAAGCCCGGGAACTGTGAAGACAGACAAAACACCACACACACGAATAAGATACTTCTCTTTGAGCTTAAAGTCACTCTCAGATAACATTATCAGCATCATAAAATAGAAGGGGCGAAAGCAAAGGTCCAGGAAAAGTATAAGTACAAGTGCAAATATGAAGACAAAGAGAGTAGAAGTTAGCCTACTGGATTAAGAGCACCACCAGCAGTTGGCCCGTAATGCGTCATAAGTACGGGGGAAAGGAAAACAGTCGAACCAGAGCGTGAACAGTGGGCTTCACACCGAGAAAGCAGCCAACGCCCGAGCTCCACTCACAGAGCAGTGAGCCAGCGAGTCACACTCACCCAGCAGGGCAGCCACTATGCCCACCAGCCCCGTGCCGGCACCCAGCTCCACGGCAGAGCGGCCCCTGAGCTCCACAGCTCCCGTCTCCAGGTACGTGGAAAGAACGACAGCCTAAGTCAAAACACAGGGGGGTTACGAGGAAGGTCAGCGCTGCTCCAGGTCAGAGCTGGAGGGTTTCAAGTAGGCTCTGCACTGGCAAGAAGCCATCACACTCGCCCCTCCCACTGCACAGTTAAGAGTCCCGCTTGGACAGCACACAGCAGCTCAGGGGCTGCTGGGAGGGGAGCTCCCAGAGCAAGCACAGACACCGCACCCCACGGATGCTGCAGGCCCCACCGAAGGCTCTAACAGGCGCGGACGCTAGTGGCCAATGACACTGCCCATGCAACACATGGTGCTGCTGAACCTGGGAAGATCAATGTCTTAAGGTATCATCGCAGCTTTACACTTGAGGCTTGCAGTGCTCCTTCGGCAGAGCTGGTGGGAACCGTCTCTGCGGTTTTTGCTTAAGGGGACGTCTAGTTTCCAAACCAAGCTCAAATCTGCAAGGCCACAGTGGCCCCCCAAGGAGAAAAGCACAGCAGCAGGCAGGGCTCCTGGAGCTGCGTTCCTCCCTCCTGACCGCAACCCCCCCCCCCCCCCCCGCATCCCAGACGCGCATTGCCCCACAGGAGTCCTCACCGTGTACTATCAGCCACAAAAGGTACGTTTTAGCCAAAGTTCTGGATACTTGATGTGTGAGTTAACATTTGAGTACTCTTCTACAGAAGTACTGTACACTGTTAACATGGTTTTAAAATACAGTTTGTTTTCATGGCCACACACTAGTAGTATAATTACACTTCCTCTTCTCGGTGGGTATTTAGGACACACACCCATTCTTCACTATTATGTACCTTTATTACTTGGTCTAGGAATCCTTTTTGTGGAGTTAGACTAGATTCCTTGAAGTATTCCTGGGTTAGAATACATTTTTTATTCCTAAATGTTTTCTTTCACTACCTGAATACAATGCAAAGACTGTGAAACTATCCACACCAAGTGTTCAGCCAACATCAGGTGAGCTACCCCTGAAGCCCAGGTGTGGCGCCAGACGCTGAGAGCCAGCCACTGTCACAAGCAGCTGCAACGACGCTGCCAGAGGAAGAAGTGAAAAAGCAACTATAGTATCATTTTGTGCCCATTACAACTATGGGAAACTTAAACACATGATCGTCACTATGGGCTTTGTCATTTTACAATATTCTTTGTGTAATATTTTTATTTCCCTCAACTTTCCTTCACTCACCCTAAATGCAACCTATTTGGGGGGAGATGGGCAGGAAAGTGATCCTGATGTGTAGAAGTTTTTTTGGAGTGGGTGGATTAATGAATATATTTTAAAATGTAATATGGATGCATCATTCTGAATTTACTTTAAAAAATCACTTCGTTGTACACTTTAGGTGAAGTGTACAGTATGTGAATATCTCGAGAAAGCTGTTCTTTTACTTTTAAAAATAAAGACACTCCTGTAATCAATCGCAGGTATCTTCAGATGACTCCCAGGATTTGCTTACCGCGTCCCAAACCACCGCAGCGACTCCCAGCTGCCTCCAGTCCTGCCGGATCTGGATCGTGTGGTTTGCAAAGGAGAAGGTGGCCAGAGGCTTGTGGAATTTCTGCAGCCCCATTCCCGCCGTCTCCTCATACGGCACCAGGGCCATTTCAACTGCGCCAGCTCTGTGAGCCCTTAAACCTGTTGGGCAAAAAGAATCCCAAGTGTTCTGGCCAGAAAATGCATTATCTCTTAAGTGGCCCGACATCCTTTTTAAAGGTTAGGGTTTCAAAAGATTAATCAGCTGGGCTGGCCTAGCTCAGTGGATTGAGCGCGGGCCTGCGAACCAGAGTATCGCGATTCGATTCCCAGTCAGGGCACATGCCTGGGTTGCAGGCCAGTTTCCGGCAGGGGACGCATGAGAGGCAACCACACATTGATATTTCTCTCCCACTCTTTTTCCTTCCCTTCCCCTCTCTCGAGAAATAAATAAAGAAAATATTTTAAAAAAAGAATAATCAGAGGTGGAGGAGGCTTTTGCCTAATTCCTTCTACAGGGTTTCCCCTCTCACACCTTCTGGGACGTGAGATTTGGCTCTGAATTCTCGCTATAGGATGTCTTTAGGCAAAAGCACCCAGAACGGTACAACTCCTGCAAGACGGCCTACCCACTTCGCTGTTAGGACTCAGGGCAGGCAGCCTTGAGGCGAGCGAGACAGCTGTGCAGCCCAGGACGAGGGAGAAAGCAGCGTTCTCTGAACTGGCCAGGCCTGTGCTGACTGCAGCTGGATCTCGCCACAGTCGGCAGGGTATTTTTGGTTGAGGTTGGGGTTTTGGTTTTGTTTTTGGTCTTGCCTCCACTCTCTCCTAAGCAGTGCGTTCACTGGTGACGACCATGGACCCGCACCTGCATGAAGACTGCTAATGGCTTCACGAGCCTACTTTCTGACTCCTGCTGTGTGTGAACGGTGGACGCAGTTCTGTCTCCTAGAGACTCGAAGTGAAAGCCACTCGTGGCTATCGAGTCCCTCGCCCGGAGCACGCGGCCCCGGGTCCTGAACGGCTCGGGGGTCCGCGGCTAGGAGGCCTCCCCGGAGTCCCCCAAACCTACCACCACCCGCCCCTCTGAACCACCAACAGGTGCGCACTCCGTTCCCGAGGGCCCCAGAGCTCCGGGAACCGGAGGGGGTGGAGACTGGAGACGGGAGAGAGGCCCACAGGAGCCTCTGGGGCCCTCCGGCCGACCGGGACGCCCACCCACTCCCGGATTCTGAGAGCTGCCCGGAGCAGGGCCCAGGGGGCGCCCCGGCCGCCCCAGAAGCCGGGCCCGCGGCACCCCCAGGCGGAGGCGCGGCCCCTCCGCTACTTACGGCTCCCGGGGCGGACCGGCGTGGCGTGCGCGCCCTTTCCCGGGCTGCGGCCGGATGCAGAGTCCGCCGGCGTAGGGAGCTGGGCCCGGCGGGGGCTGTGCTGGCCGGCGGCGGAGGAGGGCGGCGCGGAGACCGCGTTTCCGGTTCCCTCCCTTCCCTGCCTTCCCGGCAGGTGCCTGGCGATCGCCGGGGGCGCGAGGCCGACGCGTGCGCAGGGAGGGGAGCCGTTGCGTGGAGTGCGGGGTGCTGGCCTTACCCCAGTGGGTCCACAAGGTATTCGGGCTCCCCAGACAGTTCTCCCAAGGCCGAGGGCAGCGTTGGCTCCAGGAGGAGGTGAGGGATGGCGGGCGGGTGCGGAGAGGGCTTGGGGCACTCCAGCAACCCGTGAGGCGGAAGCCACCAACCTGGCCTGGGCTCCGCCGTTGTAGTGATTGCACTTTTCTATCTGTGTGCTCGTCCTAGTGCGAGCATTGTTTTGTGTGTGTGTGTTTTTTAAATATATATGTGTGCTTGCTTATTTTTAGTTTTATAGGTGGCTCGTTAGCGGGTATAGGAGCAAGTTCGTTCCAAAAAATACACGGTCACCCACCCAGTCGTCCACGCGTCACCAAAGCGGAGTTAAAGGGGCGTGATCGCCCGCTTGCTGACAATGCAGTGGGAACGTGACAAAGCCTTTAACTAGAGCGCAAACGCATTGCCAGCACTTGGCCCGGCTTCTGGGTTGTAAAGTGGGTTTGGGGTGGGGGTACCTAGCATGCCTCCGCAACCGCTGCAGACCCCAGGCCCTAGTCCCCCTCCTCCCAGGGCAGATGGCTAGAGCATCTATCCTGGGGACGCCAGTTCTTGACGTGAAAGCTGCTGACAGCGTGGCACCCAGGCCACAGGCCCTTGGAAAAGGCGCAGCTGCAGTGAACACCCCAAAGTGTGATCACGCGGGGAACAGCTTTCTCTTTTCCTTTTTTGCTTAGACCTTGGCCCCTGTCCCCTCATCGCACTGCGCCGCCGCTCTCTCACGGAGATTCCCAGTCCCCGCTGCACGTCTGAATGAGTGAACGCGAAAGCTTTTCGTCCTGGGACTCAGCTACGCGCCAGACCCAGCTGGTGCGCGTTGGGGCGCAGCATTGCTGTTCTGCGAGCTTCCGCGGTGATTCCCGCGTGCCGCCACCTGCTGGAGGCTCAGGCCGGTCCCGAGGCAGCCCCTCTCCCATCCCGCAGGGGGCGTGCCAGGCCTCGTTCTGATTTCCTTCCCACGGAAGGCTGGACCAGGGCCGCAAAGGTGACTTGAAGTGAACTTTGAGGGTCTACAGGAAAGGTCAATGTTTTTTCTTTGTGCAGTTCATTTTATTTCTTATACGCTGGTATCTTTTTGAAAGCTATTTTACGTTCCCAACAAAATGGGAGAGAAGGTACCGATATTTACCTTACACTCCCTGCTCAGCCTCCCGCATTATCAACATCCCCCACCAGACTCGCACATTCGTTACTAATGAGCCAGTAACGAATGTGCGAGTGAACTGATGAACCTGATGAACCTGGGCCGACTCATTTCCCCTCCCCCACCAGCTTCCATTAGGGCTCACTCTGGGTGCTGCACTTTTGATGAGTTTGGACAAATGTATAGTGATGCGTGCCCACCATTATGTTATGCACTGTAGTTTCACCGCCCTAAAAATCCTCTATTCGTCCCTCCTCCGCTACTCCTGGCAGCCACTGCTCTGTTTACTCTTTCCATAGTTTGGCCTTTTCCAGAATGTCATATAGTTGGAGTCACACAATATGCAGCCTTTTCAGATTGGTTTCTTTAAATCTAGTATGCATTTAAGCTTCTTCTATGTCTTTTCATTGCTTGGTAGTTCATTTATTTTTAGTGCTGAATAACATTCCATTGTGTGTGACGGTTCATCTACTTACCTACTAAAGAACGTGGCGGGTGCCTCCCAGTTTTGGCAATTACGAATAAAGCTGCTATAAACATCCCCGCGCAGGCTTTTGTGTGCACATAAGTTGTCGCCTCCTTTGGGTGGATATCAAGGAGCACAATAGCTGGGTCACGTGGTGAGAGTGTGTTTCGTTTTGTGAGAAACTGCCAAACTGTCCCCCAAGTGGTCTTACCCTGTTGCTTCCCCGCCAGCAGTGAATGAGAGCCGCTGTTGCTCCTCAGCCTCCGCAGCATTTGGGGTTCAGGGTTTTGGGTTTTGGCCACTGTTGTTTTAACTTACAATTCCTAATGACATATGCTGCGGAGCATTTTTCCCAGTGTTACTGAGATATAATTGACATATAATGTTGTATTAGTTTAAGGTATACACCATAATGATATGATATCTGTATATATTGCAAAATGATGACCACAATAACTTTGGTTAACATCCATCACCTCACAGTTACCATGTTTTCCTTTTTTTGTGCAAATTTTCCAGTTTTTTAAATTTTTTTATTTATTTATCTTTAAAGGCAAAGGGAAGGAGAGAGGAAGAGAACTATCAATGTATGGTTGCCTCTCATGCATCCCCCACGGGGAACTGGCCTATGACCCAGGGAATGGAACCACGGTTGTTTGGTTCGCAGGCCTGTGCTCAATCCACTGAGCTACACCAGCCAGGCCAATTTTTTCCTTGTAATGAGAACTTTTAAAATCTACACTCAGCAAATTTTAAATACACAATACAATGTCGTTAACTAGAATCACATTCTACATATCACATTCCCAGAACTTACAATGGGAAGTTTGTACCCTTTGACCATCTACACTCATGCCCCTCACCCACCACCCTCTGCCTCTGGCAACCACTAATCTGTTCTCTGTTTCTATGAGTTTATTTGTTGTTTGGTATTTTAGATTCCACATATAAGTGAGACCACACAGTATTTATCTTTCTCTGCCTAACTTACTCCACGTACCGTAATGCCCGCAAGATCATCCATGTTGTCACAAATGGCAGGATCTCCTTTCTTATGGGTGAATAATATTCGTGTGTGTGTGTGTGTGTGTGTGTGTGTGTGTACATGTGTCACACACACCATGGTTTGTCCATCTGTTCATCTGCTGCTGGGACTTGGGCTGTGCCCATGTCTGGGCTACTGCGAGTCATCAGTGAACACGGGGCTGCAGATGTCTCTCTGAGACAATGATTTTGTTTCCTTCAGATACATACCCAGCAGTGGGGTCACCGGATCAGATGATAGTTCCATTTTTAATTTTTTGAGGTCCCGCCACACTGTTTTCCATAGTAGTTGTACCAATTTACATTTCCACTAACAGTGCACAAAGATTCCCTTTTCTGTGCACCCTCACCAACACTTGTTAGCACTTGTCTTTTTTGATAATAACCATTCTCACAGGCGAGAGGCGATATCTCGCTGTGGTTTTGATTTGCGTTTCCCGGATGATTAGTGATGTTGAGGACCTTCTCAGGCACCTTTTTCACATACTCGTTAAGCACCATTTCATGTACCAAATTGTCTGCATCATTTAAAAATACGACTGCTTCACATTATTGAATTTAAGAGCTCTTCGTATATGTTGGAAAACAGTCCTCTATCAGATACATATTTTTCAGACACATCCCCTGAGTCAGTGGCTGTCCTTTGTCCATTCTCTCACTCGTACCACATTTCATTACTGTAGCTTCACAGTTAAGTCTGAAGTCAGGTATTGTCAGCCCTCCAATCTTCTTCTCATTCAGTGTTACTGTTTTTTCTTTGTTGATCTCTCTCTCTCCTTTTTTTCCTCCCATTATCTCCTTTCTCTTACCTCCTCTACCTCTCTGTGCTGCTTCACCCTCTCAACTTTCCTCCCCCGACTCACTACTCATTTTTCTCTTTGTCCCTTCCCTTTAGGGAGCCAGCCTGGGGCACAAGAAAAACGTATATGCTCTGGAGCCCGAGAAATGGTGCAAATGTTAATTCTGCCTCTGACACTTTAACTGGGATGAGCCTGAGTGATCCCCAAACCTTCCTAGATCCCGGGTCTCTTGCCCACAAAGCCTGGCACAGAGATGGTACCCCCTCCATCCCCTCTCCCCATTCTCCATTGCTTTTGCTGACATCGTCCATAGGACGTCACAAAAGAAGCCTTCCCAGCCTCGCCAGCACTCCACAAATGTGGACATTTGCCTCAGTATGTCTACTTACAGTTCATTTGGAAAGTTATTTTCTTCTCCTCGACCACAATAGACAGCAATGTCCTTAGTCCTGCCAGTGTGCTAAGTGGTGCCCGTTGGCTCAGGAAGCACCAAAAAGAATGTTTAGGAACATATGCGACTTGTATAGCAATGTAGATTTTAAGTGGAGTTCTGTTCTTATCATAATACACCAAAAACAGCCAACGGTTCCCTGTGACTGCTTGAAAATAAATTTTTAATCTTCAAAAAAAGTTGTGTATGTGGTGGACTGTAGTGTTTAAACCCCCAGTGCCTCTTTTACACAGGCCTGTCGTTGGTGTCCCTTCCTGAGGAAGGGCTGTCTCCGTGCCCTACAGAGGTCAGGCTTCAACGGGTGACTTTCTTTGATCGATGGATTGTGGGTGGAAATGACACTTGTCACCTCAAAGAAGGAACGTGAGGTGTCTGGCCCAGCTGTTTCATTGCTCCTTTCCCCTGTGTTCCAAAGCAGCATGTCCCAGACTGGGGTGCTTCCTTACCTGCAGTCCCAGGTGGAGCAGACCACAGCTGACCTGTGAACCGTGAGTGACAACTAAACCTTCGTTGAGGTAACCATGAGAGCTGGGAGTCATCCCTATAGGACAACTCAGCAGAAGTTGACAGAACACAGGTGTGAAAGAGAGAAATTTCAAAACAGAAGTTTTTAGGATGGGTGGCTTAGTGTAGTTTCTCAGTGAAGAAGATCTATTCTCGGAGCTCGGCCTAGTGCACGAGGTCACCTTAATTGCCATACACTGGGGCCTCCACCGTCAGCCTGGGCTGACGATCACTGACCATCTTTATCCGGCTGTGATTCTCAGGCTTCAAGACAGTTCTACTGCCAGTCTGGCTAGGACGTGAAAACAGGTGGATTCACTGTTTGCATTATCTGCAATTCCGAAGGGCAGTTCAGTCACAGTATACCGATCTGGAGCTGTGTGTTTTCCTTTAGCAAGAGGAACTGGGCTTCTTTCCTCGGTCCTCTCCTGGACTCAGACAACTCAAAAGGGGACACGCTTGGGCGTCTCCTGAGCCCAGTGGGCTCCCGATGTACCTTCAGCCCCTTGCGGGGAGCAGAATTTAGGGTGGGGGCTAGAATGCAAATAAGTCCACCCGGAACCTCTGGTTGATGGCTTTGTATTTCTATCCCTGAGACTAAAATGGCTTTTCCCCAATCCCACGACGTGTCACCAGAGCATAATTGTAGAAGGGCACATATTCTTCTGTCCCTCCTGTTTTCTGGAACCCGTTCATGTACGAGGTCAAGTAGAAACAGCCACCTTGGTACAAGGTGATCCTACCCCCTCGGCCGCGGGCGGATCCCTGACCCAGGCTGGGTAAATAATTTTCTCTGCAGAGTGAGAATTCGGAGTGGCCATTGGACATCTGCTGTTGCTATTATGTTTATTAGGCCAGCATCTAACTCCTTCCCATTTTGCTGGTAGCAGTTCTCTTCTGCTGCCCATCCGGAGCTCAGCTTCTGGGGCCCAAGAGTCTAGGTCACATGCCAGCTCTGCAACTTACTAGCAGTGAGGCTTCGTAAGGGAAGGAGAATGTGAAGGCACATTCACCTGTGCTTCCATTTCCTCACTTATAGGAAGGGGACGATGTGCTGATTACATCAGTGAACACATAGTAAACTGAGGTTAAAATGAGTTAACTTATCTAAAGTACTTAAAACGGTGCCCAGCAAACAGTGAAGTTCATGTAGCATCATTGGCTGTTGTTGCGTGCTTGGGCGGGGCTGACCTCAGCCCCGGCTCTGAGACCAGGTACGCGTCTCCCAGGCCTGGCCGACACGCGTGCCCTTCAGCTGGGCCATGGGTGATTTCAAGGTGGGCAGTGTGGCCAAGGCTGGGCTTCCCCACCCTCTGTCTTGAGACTTGCTGGGACTCTGGGAGAACCAGTGTTGGGAAGGATAGAACCAGGGTTCCTGTAGGTCATCTTGTCCCAGGGAGCTGAACCGGCAGAGGGGCGGGAGTCAGCGCAGGTGCTGGTGGAAAAAGAGGCTGCCCCTACTGTGCCCTGTGACCATCTGGACCCCACAGGCCTGGAATTCTTAGTTATTTGAACCATTAAACTCCCTAATTAGCTTAAGCCGGTTTGAGCTGCTTTTATTGTCCCCTGCAGAAGAAACACAATCCATTCAATCTGGGCGGGTCCCTTGAACAATAGAGATAGAAAATGGCGCTGGGCGGGGCCATCCTGCACAGGCTGAGTAAGGAGAAGCGGGGAGGTGGAGGGGCCAGGCTTTCCGCCCCCCAGCCTTTCATGGCCGCACCTGGGCTCCCAGGACCTATGGGACACCAGTGTAACCTGATACTAAAGTTCCCTTTCTTGCTTAAACTGGCTTGGGTGCCCGATACATACAACCACAATTCTAAAGACGGTGTGTCTTCTGTTGTTTTTATTTCTATCTATCTATCTATCTATCTATCTATCTATCTATCTATCTACTTTGAGCAATAGTGGTGAGAAGTATTGGAAGTAGAGGGGTGAACCTCTGCGCCCTGAGTGCTGGATACCCCTGAGGGGCTGCCGCACCGCCTCATCCACACCCGGCTAGCTGAGCTTCGTCTCTCTGTGGGGGAGTCCAGACTCCGGGTTCACGAACCGACATGTGGCCTCACCAAGCCCAGGAAGAGAGATGGGACCCAGAGCTGCAGTTCCATTAGCCTGGCATCCAAGGTCCAGTAGATCAGCATAGTCTCTGTTTTCATCCACCTGCTCCTGGCACTGAGCTTCGGCCCGCCAGGCTGCTCTGGAGAGAGAGCGTGCAAACGCCGGTTGTTTGTTCTTAGGACGTAATGAGACAGAATACAAATATTCTGTAAGGTCCCTGTATACAGTTTGGTGATGGCTAACTTGCTATCATATCTGCCAGACAACAAATATGATCTTAATAGATGGATGTGTGTAAGAAGGACAAAAGTCTCCTCTCCACACTCATCGTCAGCAGATAATTTGAGTTAGTATGGACTTTGATAAATGCTGGCGAAATGGAAGCATGATCTCTGGCTCCATCTTTCCCGTCCATTCTAGAAGGAAGGAGTGGCCCCTCCGAGCCCCCCAGCACCGCCACACCCACCCTAGGAATTCTGTCCCCTCCCCAGGCCTGAGGAGGCTGGCTACCCAACCTGTTCCATCAACGGCTTCTTTTTGCCGAACAGTCCCCTGTTAGCTCCAAATTCAGTGTTTAAGGGTGGTGCATGCTTGCTGCTTATAGGTTTGTGGGGGAGGAACAAACTTTCCTCTGCCCTCAAGGTTCTTCTGGCTGGTTCTTCTAATAATCAAACATGAGACAGGTAAGTAAGAGAAAACCAAATTTAATCATGCATATGTATAAGAACCCTGCATACGTGAGCAAGTCAGAGATCCCACACACAGGAGAGGTTCACAGAGAGAAAGGGGGACCAAGGTGAGTAAAACATCCTGAGCCAGGGGTGAGGGAAGGCACCTTGGAGGCTTCAAGGGTCATTGCAGGATGATAAGACCAACACAAGCTTAGTAAATAGAAGTTTTCTTGCCGTGTATATAGGTCAAGGCTCAGCATTTAAGTTCTTCTAGGTAGTAAAGAGAGGATAGAAGGAGGCTATGGCTTATGTTGTCTTCAGCTCAAAACAATCTACATGCACCAGAGGCACATCTTGGGGTGACTTGTTCTGAACCCCCACCGGTTTCCACTGCTGGGCCTTCAGCTTGCTGTCTGCCTTCTGCTCTCTGGCCCCACTGAGATGCTGTTTCACAGCTACTTCTGACCCATGCCAGGTCTTGTGTCTGTCCCAGACACCAGAATTCTCTGCAGCATTGGACTTGATGAGGACCTGGGAGAATCCATGCTGGGGTGCTGGGGCCCCAGCCCCTGACCTCACCCCTTTCCCATTGCCTCCACTCTGCCTCTGGACTGCCCTAAGGCTGCTGCAGCTTCTCTGAAAGCTGGACTTTTTTTCCTGCACTTCTGCTGCTTCACAGATTGACTGTGACTTCAGATACAACATGTTCACAAGTACCAGTTCCACACAAGCCTGGCTGGTGTTCCACAGAGTGACCACAGGGGTGCAGTGAAGGAGCGGAGCATTGGAGATTGCACACCGTGAACTCAGTCCCAGGTCTGCCTGATCACATGGCCCTGGGCAGGCACTGCAACTCCTATATTTTACCTGCTTCCTTATGTCTAAATGGGAGTCTAAGGACCAGTTTCCCTGCTGGCTACATCCTTTCCTAGCTCTATGACCTTGACTAATGAATTAGTATTTTCCTGCCTCATTTTCTTCATCTGCAAAAGGGAGATCTTAACCACCGTCAATGCAACCTGTAGAGAAATTTTATGAGCTTATTTGAGCCAAACAAATGCTAATCACAAGGCAGCATATACTCAATAAATTGAGAAAATTCTCCTGAGAATAGTTTTTTTGTACTTTATTTTATATATTACAATAGAAGGGGAGACATAAAGAGGGGTACATGAAATCCACTGGTGATAGACTAATGGGGGCAGGAGAAAGCAAATGGGGAATCTCTGGGTAAAGCCTAAAATGGAGAGAGACTTCTCTTACATTGGTGGGTATGGGGTCCCTAGCAATTAACATTACAGCTCAAAGCGATGGTATTCACAGAAACAGATAACTCTGAGAGTTTCTGCGGCCTGGTGCCCTGACGCTGCTGGTTTTACCCTGAGGGTCCAGAGCAGGAGACACTGTGGCTTTCCAAAGGTATGTCCCTTAGATGTAATCAGACAATAGACAGGCTGGCTAGGGGGGAAACTGACCTTTGTCAAGGAAGCTACAGGGCTAGGACGTGACTATCAAGAGGACCTGCAGTTAGTTAGGAATGTGTTTGTTCAGACCTTTCTGTGTGCTTACTTCCAGTCTCTCAGTTGTTAAGGCCTCCATGTAGGCTTTCCCTGGGCCTGTCAGGCATAGTACCTCGCCCCTTTTTGGTCCACCCCATGACCCTAGCTGCTTGCTGTCCAGAGGAAGGTGGCCATCACAGGCTCAGTGCTCAGACCAGAGGCTGGCATACAGAGGGCACCCCCTGAATATTTGCTCTTACTCCTTTCCTCCTCCTTGTCTGCTGCCCCAGCTTTCCTAGTTAACGAGGTTGGGAACCTTCGAGCCTTTCAGTGCCCATATATTTCAGTCTGTTTGGTCATTGCTGAGGTGGCTGTGGTGACCAAAGTGTATTCAGG